ACATACTAAACATAATATATAACTAGTCTGTTAGGTGAGGACCCTTGAAATCGCAACTAGAAGGCTTGGAAGCGAGATTGAAGCATTAGGAGCCGCTATGCAGAAAGACCATCAGGCCTGAGGCAGTTATTGATGAGACACAGCTAAAGGAGCTCAACAGAGAAGCAGAGCAGATGAGAGTCCAAAGGGGTATTAAGTGTGTGTCTTGTTTTTTTGTATACAGCTCTGTGGCTTATTCCAATTATAACATCAGATTGAAATTGCGTTTCGCAGAGTAAATAGCATTGGCAGCCACAGAAAGCGATGCTCGGGACAAAACTGGGCAATGCTCAAGACCAAATACAATGATGCAGTGGAAGCCAGAAAGCAACTGAGCATGAGATTGAGGCCCTACACGTCCAGGTGGGTTACAGTAAATAGCTGTACGTATGCGGTTGATTTAGAATTGACCGTGCGTTGGTTTTTGTAGGATGTGGACAGTGGCAACTTCTGGATAGAAATCGCCTTAGAAAAACAGCTTGAAAATTTGGAGCGGAGTTGATGTTCTTACAGAGAGTTCACAAAGAAGGTACCGTAATCGTGTATAACTTGTGTTGACACGTTTGTGTATGTGACTTGGTCCAGTATCTTGGAAAATGTCCCATACTGTTGCGATGAGCTATAATAGCAGAGCGCGCAAGTCTAGTGACAGTTTAGCCTGGCGATTGTGACATGGATGTTGTCAGACCGTATGGTGTGTGGTTTATGCAGTGGGGGAAGGGAAGGGATTTTTGTGTCAATTTCACACTTAATTACAGGATGGACAAGCATTGGAAATAGTGGTATGGTTATTTGTGTTTTAAAAGCATTAACCAGACTTCAGGAAATAGAGGAGCTGCTGCAGACAAATATAATCAACTGTGACTAAAGTGGAATTGACCGTTTTGGCCTACCGTATCGCAGCACGACGCCCTGTGAGACATTCAGTCACAGTTATGACAGCATTGGCCAGCCCAGTATCTTTCAGGTGGGATAATCCTTGAAGAGGCCAAAAGATACATTATACCCATATTTAACAAAGTGCTATAATTTCTTTAAAGGAGACTGGATGCTTGAGCGAGGGGAACCAAATTCCAAGATCTTGACCTATATGCGTTCCAACAAACATGTGCAAAGTGTGAGAAGTGTAAGAGAGGGAAGTGCAACTTACTTGAAGGATGGAAGTATACCATTATCAAAATCTAATCTAATTCCATTGTGTAAATGGATCTAAAATAAATGGCACACTTTACAGTAGAATCCGCCACCAAGGAGCGAGAAACGTGATTCCTTGATGACAAAGACTGAGTTTCTTGAGGCTCAAATCCCGATTATGTCTCAAAAGTACAAAAGAAAAGAGAGGATCCTCAGGGAAGTTAAAATAAATAACAGTGATTTACCAGCTGTGCCCATAAAAAAGAAAATGTGACAATGTTTCTCCTCCAATGCAGGAGCGCATATGCTCTAATGTAGATCTGAGAGTGACTAAAGAGAAGATCGCACTAGCTGCATGCGAGATTACCAGGACCTTCATAACGTCAAGATGTCACTTGAGATTGAAATAAACCATCCTAGAAGGTAAACAATATTATTTTATTTGTTACAAAAGTATTGCATGTCTTTTTTCTGTGGAATGGCATACCTGTTTAAAATATATATACTTTCAGAATTTTAGTCAAATTATGGGTGATGGTCCAGTTTAGTCACTAAAAAAGTGCTGTATGATGAATGTTCGTAATTAGTTTGTTTTATTTTTGATGTGTACTGTATTTAATGTATAATCTCAACATTTGCATCAGGCTTTGGTTGGACTTTTTAAAACCTTTCCTCGTTACCACAATACGAACCAACTTAATGTTTAAATATAATGACAAATGTTTTTACTGCTCAAGACATGCTGTGAAATGAATCAAATCCCTTTTGATAAAATTCTTTCCCTTTCTTCCACAGGAAATTGATTGAGGGAGAGGAAGACAGTCGTCTGAGCTCATGGTACCATAACTTGTCCAGAAATGGAAAACTGCCCATCTCTGCCATTCAGCAGCAGCCAACATTCTCCTCCGCCTGCGTCCTGCTCCACGACAGAGGAGCCCGGAAAGCCCGCAGTGAAAGTTGATCGGAAAACGCCATGTGGAAGTTTCCTCCTCGACACTCAGGACCGGACCTGTTGGACCAGGCCACAGAGCTGTCAAGGAGAGGACGACTGTCTTGATCAGGTAGAGGATGGCTTTTACAGCAAAAAGGGTGAGCAATAGCTCTGTACCAATACCTGGCTTCTTATCGCGTTATTTGAAAATAAATCCATATTTTTTACATTCATATAAAGCTGGGTACCTAATTTTCCTATTTTCATAATAATCCATGTTTGTTTGCCCAAGGTCATGTAAAAGTAAAATGAGCAGAGCAGAACTTGCGGTCTTCTCATCATAAAAGACTGTTATCTTTGAATAATGTAGAAAGAGTACTGTGATCACTGTTTGAGCTTTGAGCTGATTGGCTGAGTGAGGGTGGGTCCTCTCGTTTTTCACTTTTCTGCTCAAAAAGCAATAAAAAAATATGACAAAAACCCCCAAAAAAATGCATGTGAAAACTAGTGATAAACCAAATTGGTTTTGAATCGTGAGTAACATAAAATGATTATTGCACTGATTTCATTGTTTGAAAAAGTAGGCGAGCTCAAGGGACCATCACCCAGCTGTATTCTCGAATATGTCCCGTTTCTTGTAACAACGTTTATCCCCAGAACAGTTAAGACCGATGTAAACACTATAGAAATGACCTCACAAGACGCACCATCCTTATTTCTGGAGCTGCGGACACGACACGGATGAAAGAATAACTGCTGAGAAATTGAATAGATACTATAGATAAAATGTGTGACTATAGTAAATCATTACTTTGGCTCTTAGGACTCACTCTAACATTTTGCATGTTTCTATCTTTTAATGCTCCTATAAAATACCTGTGGGAAAATAATTGTGTTAAACCTAATAAACAGCAAGAACCAGAAAAGTGTAGTTATTATCCAACTTTTTTAATCAAATTTCTCCAGTCACATTGAAAAAAGGTGCTTAATGAGACCACGGCCCCATGTAAACATTTGATTTCATAGAAGTAAATCACAAGGAAAGAAATCTACGGAAAACCATATATTGACACATGTTCATGTACCACTGTTAATTTTACTAGTAGATAGTAGTAGTTAGCGTTAATGATTTGGCAGCTGAGATACCGACAAAATTTGTGCTATACGATGACGAAAGAAACCCATTTGAGTCTGAATTAGTGCTTTTAGTGCAGTGGTTTGGTTTCGTCGCCCACACCTCCACCAGACGGTAACTGCAAACTACTTCATGCGCCATAGCGTCCTCATTCTCCGGAAACACATTAAGAAAATGACTAAATATGCATCTACGTTTGTAAATGTGAGGAGATTTGCAGTTGATTTGGTTCTGACCTAGTGTCCGCCTCCGCATAGACCTCTGACTACTCTTCGGTCCCAGACGTCTCACAAGGAGCGAGCCATAGATACTTCTGTCACCTAAAGCGTACAATGGAATCCGGCAAACCTCCGGGTCCCCCCCCCCCCCCCCCCCCCCCCCCCAACACCTGCCCGCTCTCTCTGGCATCTGTCGTGTCGATCACTCTGCGTCCGGCACAACCGCACACGATAAACACATTAACCATTTGAAATGATTCTCTTGCATTGAAGAAAGGGTGAGCAACTATTTTTTCTTTCTTTTATCAAAATACAGCAGAACACATCAACATTCAACAAGAACACAACAAAAACAAAAACACAAAAGTACATACAAAACCCCAAACTACAAACATAACACAAAAATAAGAAGACAAAAAAAATTTGTGGGGCAGGGGGTTTGTCCTCTAAACTTATGCTAGTACATAAAAACAAGTTGGTTACTTCACCTCAGCTAACTACAGGTGAACTAATTAGAATATTGTTCAAATCTCAAATTCATTCACAAAAGATGATATCATCAATCCTTTATTTTCATATTATGTTGAATAAATAGCCTTGCTTTAAAAAATCCAATAAAACATTTCAGATTTTTTTTTTTTAAAACTGGTCATAATTCTGCCATAATGATCATTCACAATTTAGTGACTAAACAGAAATAAATAGACTTTTAAGTAATATTTTTATTTTTTGTCCACCTGTCTACATTATACATTTGGCGGAACATATATTTCTATATGAAGCTGAAGGATTCCCCATTAGTATCAAAAAGTTTTAGTGCCCTATATGCACATTTAATGAATGATAATACAGAATTGTAAAACTGACATTGTTATTGAGTGAGTTATTTTTTAATACCTTGACTTTCAGCTGTCTGTTGGAGATCGTATAGATGGCATCCCACTGCGGCTCGGTCATTCGCCCTTTTAGGCTAATAGGGTCTTCAATTAGCAAAAAGCATGTCCAAGCAGTTAGCATCTCCTACCCTGCTAAAAATTAACAACACATTATTTCCACTAGGAACAAAGGAAGCCGTTTGTGTTTGCTGACATTCACTCTGCTACCTGGTTGACAACATGGAAATGTTTCAGAAGCAAGTGTGCAGCTTCATCTTCATTTCATGCATCATGTTGGGATGATCAAACAGCTTCTGGAACCTTTGTCTTCTGCAGATTTACTGAACAGTACCTGACACAAGCTACAAATACAACAAAAAGCCTGAAGATTTAATCCATGGTGGATGTACACAAGAGTCCATAAACTCCACCGTTTCGTGCCGTTGCTTCATACATATCACGCCAATGTCAAACTCCTGTGCTACATGGTGGAGATGTTTGACCCTGTTTTTAGTACACCCCACAGTTAACTATGAAGAGATTCAAATCATTATTTCACCACATTTATATTATGTTGATATCTACTGTACGTAATAGCATACCTTCATGGTTTCTTCAAGGTACCTTGTTTGAGCTGCCGTTAGCTAAGCCAGTTTGCACTACTGCCATATTTAATTAAGCCCCCTGCATATCCACAAATATCAGATACATTTGAAACATTTGTTATTAAGTATGTGTCATAGTGTGTTAACTGAATAGGAGTTCCTTGAGGTAAGTGGCTAAGTTAAGTGTAGCTAGTTTGTCCTCCGACCAACAAGTGGAATTGTCCTTCAGAGTCACATAGAGTAAAACATTACGGTCAGCATCGCCATCAAACGAACAGCAGCGCTATCCAGCTTTATCTCGACAGCCTCAAACGTTTGCAAAAAACACAATTCTTATGAGACACATTTGCATATATGCTTACTATCAGTAAATAAGCAATACCTGTGGGTGCTTCTGCGGTACTTTGATCAAAAAATCGGCTCCACATGGAGGAGTGAGCTTTCCCGTGCTGCCGTCATTTGTGCAGGTGAGATCGGAAGCTCTTTTGCATACGGTTGTTGCTCCATCCTCTCGAACCCTTCAAAGCCCCGATTCCATTTGCTCCAGCAGAGAAAGGTGCCTTTCTGATTCAATCGGTGCAGTTTGTTGCCAGAGATTACCAGAGTAGTGTCATGTGGGTCAGATGTAGTTCACTAATTTAAGTATCCTGTCTGGTTACTCACATGCTTGAGGAGCTTTTAAGAAGGCCTGACAAAGCTTGTTGTAGTAGCCTTCCTCTGAAGCTGCTCCATATTTCCCGTGAGTATTTTGGGCAGCGAGGATCCATATAATGTAGCTTGTGGGCGTCGTCACCAGAACCATAGTCTGTCATGAGAAACAAGACATGAAAGTTCCAAGCGTTCATGAAGTTAAAGTCATTAAGGTAAAGTTGAATTCATTATTTTCATTTATGTAGAAACAACCGAAATTCACAATCCTTTACTAAGACCTCCGAAAGAAGAGACCCCCTCGAGTCCGCTTGTTGACCGCGCAGCACTACTGCTGCACTGTAAACAGGGACTTTAAGTCATAATGGTAAACTGGTAGAAAAACATATCATTTTAACAACATACCTGGTGTCTCCTGCCCTCACAAATCCTTGCTTGCTTCGTTTTGCGTCATGGTTATATTCTTCTTTGGCGATTTACATCCTTCCAAAGCTGCCAGTAAGGTCCCTCATTTTCAGCGCTTGGCCGAATAGAAGCGTAGCATAGCCCTCCCAACTTGGCGTCACCATTTCCACCCAGTGGGTCAACCAAACTTCTCACTCCATTATAGCCTCCTAAAACACAAGATATTATCAAAACGATTCATTCAGAGTGGCTTCTACTTACAGAAAAGTAGATGTAGCAATTTTACTTAAATTCTTGTCAAATATAATATGTACTTGAAATTAAAGCTGGGACTAAAGTAACTTTGAAACAAAAAAATGAAATAAATTATTTAGACAATTCCCTTGTCATGAGATTCGTTGCTCTCAAAACAGTTTGGTTCCATCCCTAAGTTTTCAATGCATGTCATTGTTGGGCTTTGTCACGTCTATCCGTTCAGCTTTTTCTCAGACAGAACAGTGGAAAAGCATGGAGGAAGTTTCGTATTATTCACAGTTGCAATAGACCCCCCCCCCCCCTCCCACCCCCCCCCCACCCCCAAAAAAAAAAACAACAAAAACACACACAACAACAACTCCCCCCCCCCCCCCCCCCCCCCCCCCCCCACCACAACAAGGATTGAAGCAAATATAAATTACGACTTCAGCCTAAACCCCTTGCGTTCAGGGCATGATTTATGCACGCAATTCCTTGATTTGACTCAATCTAGAGCCTTTTCTTTCTTATTGTAAAAATGTATGCAATCTTTGAGAACAGGGGAACCTGAGATCCTAATGTACATAAAGACCAGAAGAAATAAACTACTACACACAGTTTTAAAATGAGCTTAAAAGTGGAAGGACACCTGCTCCACCCTCGGGGTTGGTGTGATGCAGTGACCCATAACGTCCAATTGGTGGCTTGAGTTTTACTTGGTGCCGCAGTTGCGGCCGCAACAGTCCCAGCCATGAACATGATGTGGTCCAGAAGTTTGGTCGTTAGTTCCTGAACCCAGCCGTGCCATACTGTAACCCCAGCCCGGGAGGCTTTGGGTGCTGACTGGTAGTGCTTGTTTACTCTTCTGCGAACTGGTCTGACACAGACTGCCAACCAAAATTAAAGACGATTTTAATATGATGTTAGATCAAAAAATTACTTTATGCAAACAGACAGAGTTACTTTTTCACTCTTCTGTGTTCAACTGAGGAATGAAATGCACAACTACCTAATAAAGCACAAAGTATTAAAAAAAAAAAAAAAATCTCGCCCTCTATTTAGGTTGTGTTGTGCGCACAAACTACGTTGCGAGCTAGCAAGAACTATTTTCCGATAAAAGGACAGCATTTCTATGTGTCATCAAGTCGTTCATAAAAGTGACTTGACTATTCGCAGCAGGTGCGGCGTTGACATCGGGGACTTCCTTGGCTTCTACAGGTCCGCTGTTGACGTGGCCTTCGGTCTCTGCGTGATGACGTAATCACCGGACACGATGTGCGGTCACGAGGCTCCTCTGACTTGCAGGATTTCCCCATGGATCTATCTTCAATAACGGATCTGAAAAATCTTTTCCATTGACAGTACGGGATCTGTTGCATAGATTTTTATTGGTTTAGTTACATTTAGAAACGTTACTATATTTACATGACTAGTTACTGGGATATATACATTCTTATGGATAAAAATGCAACATATTAAACAAAATTCCACTAACACAACATACGCATATACAGAGTTTGTATTGTTTTCTTTCTAGCTAAACCCCAGCCGGTGAATGGCAGCTGTAAATCAGTGTCATTAGAATCTATACCTATCTCAAAGGCAGGAAGATTATGGCAGCAGAAGTTGAAGTTCTTAATTGGAAATACTTTTCGAGACCACCAATGATACATATTACATAGTAGTCCTCTTTAACTACCATAAAAATACAACTACTATCCTCAAAATATTTACAAACGGTGAGAAAACACAAGCATCATAAGTTGACATATTACAAAATTCACAAGTTACTCCCAATTCTGCACATACATATAACGTACTGTGCATTAGCTTGATATAGGGATCTGGCCACATTTGTACCACACACCTCGGCGGCAAAGCTTGCTAAAGTCAGGAGAATTCAGATTTTTTTTTTACATGTAGAAAATAAGCAGCTAATAATTGTAACAAGGAAACATGTGCCAGTATTAGCCAGGTGAAGTGCAAGTTTTTTCTACATTTGTAACATGGCTTGGAACATTTCCAAATGAATGTCTGCCCAATGTGACCACTTCACTGTTACGCTCCCATCTCTGTGATGGGAGTTGAAGAGGAACAAGTGCCCCAAACTTAACAATTGTTAACCGCTTTGTGACTCTGGTCTGTGATAGGTGGTATATAAATAAAGATGAACTTACTTACTATTACTTAGATTATCGTACTTAAAAACCACTTAACAGAGTATTGCTTTGACAGCAGAGGGATAAAATACATTACTTTAATAATCCATCGGTAGGTAATAAAATGAAACCTCAAGGGGCGTAGGAGGGAAGCCGAGGAGATTCGCGCGCAGTCCTTTTCCTGTTCCCCTGTTTTCGCCTGTGCGTCCTGTGGCGACAGAGTTAGGCGGCACTTCGGGGGAGAGGTGGGGGATTTTGTCCGTCGAGCTCCGATCTAAAAATAATTCAAACCTCAATAGATAGGGAAGAAAACATATACATATAAACATCCCCATCTCCGCTGGTGCTATTATTTTGAAGGACTTCTGCGAGGGTGAAACAGCCAAACACCGATGCCCCCTCCTCCAAACGGGATATTTGACCGATCCAAGTGGTGCTAATTTGCGTCCAATCAATCGCTATCATTGTATTTCCGATCAGTGAAGCTTTTAACGCATCATTTGTTCCGTGTTGGTGCTGGTTGCGGGGTTTGTGAGAGGCGCTTCTATTGCAGTCGTGCGTTACATAACCGAGTGGCTTTAGCTGTCCAAGGTGCTGAAGTGGACTCTCCAGGCAGTGGGGGAATTCGCCTGGTTTGTAAGTATACCTTACAAATGTTTTCATGGCATACTCTTCAAACGCAACCATTCGATCTGACGCGTGAGAAGGCGTCCATGTCGAGATTTTGTGCGTTTATTCTGTCCCTCTTTCCGCGTTGCACAGAGGTCAAGGGCCTGCAGTGATACGGGAGCGCAGAGAGAGAGAGAAGGGGGACGCGTATTTTTTTTTCCCCAGCCGCAGCGGTTCAAATTCATTCGTGAGGTGGTCGACTTGACACACACGGGGGAAGAAAATGTCGGACAAACGCTCACTGCTCGTATCGCCGCTGCGCCAGTACCAGCTCACGGGATCCGACATGGCCCGTGCTGTGTGCAAAGCCACTACTCACGAGGTGTCGCCGCCCAAAAAGAAGCACCTGGAATGTAAGTGAAAATACAGCTCCTCCATACACTGGATTTATGTGTGCATGAATCAGACACACAGGCCTATCCTCTGCCTATATAGCCTCTCTCTGTTTATAGCCCATTCTCTGTGGGTTTTCAGTGTGTGCAGCGTACCACTATCATCCTTGAGTGTTTTTCGTTCAAAGGGTGGAGGGGAAAGAGGGGAAAAAAAGGAGAAAAAAAGAGGAGTGGCCCTAATGAATTGATTCATCCATGAAGACCCCCCTGGTGACCCGTTGCCTCCACTATGATTGATAGTATAACACATATACTTGTATGTGCAGCTTTTGAATAAATGAGAAACACTTGGTTTTGTGGTCAACAAATAATATAGCATCAGATTACTGCTGGTCATTAGAACTTAAATACTAACATACACATTATAACAGCTTGAAAACAATGTTTGTTGTTTCATATGAAATTAATATATGCCTAGCTTGTTCATGCCTAGCTTGTTCATGCATTATCATGTCTTTGACATGTCTTTGACATGATAATGTCACCAAGCCTATACTTTTGTTCATTTATATACGAGGAATGTTATTTATTTGCATTTAGTTAAGTTTAATCTTTTAGAGTTGGAAATTCTCATTGCCAAAGTGAACCACTTGACCCCCAAACACCTATTGTAGCCCCATGTAAATAAATTTAATTTTAACCCACAATACTCTCTCATGTTGTACTGCTATCAGCTTTAAGCTTTGGTTCTCACTAATGTATGAATACAAAAGGAAAAATAAAAAACATTGAGTATTAACAGCCCTCATAATCATAAATTACCACTTCAGTAATCATACTTTCTGTCTCGTCGTGTGCATTGGACCAGGTGCTACAGCACACAGCATGTTGCAGGGTCCAGGGCAGGTCTGGTCTTGTGTCTGGGACCTAGGGCCTTATATCTTGTGATCCGCTCCCTTTTGAATAATTGAATAATCAGCCAATGACTGCCTTGCATTATTTACACCGCCAAAGGTGACAATTCAAAAGCTACAATGCAATTTTCTAGATATGTGGTTTTGTATACTGTGGTCACAATCATTCACCATAACAGCCACACCGCACAGACATATGCCAATACTACTCCAAACGATACGTGTGGGGATCATGAGTATACATTTCAGAGCAAGGCAATATAACATGCGTGTGATTTTAGACTTAGATTAATCTATAAATACCTATAATGTGTTTCTAATTTCTAGGGCAACACTTATAAATATTCTGCCGTAAGTAGGAAACCACTTGGAGTGTCTCTTTCGCCTGTTGCGAGGGAGAACTGGCAGCCTTAAAAAGCAGCTATAAAAACGGTCAGATAGCAGTAAAGCACATGGATTCTTGTCCCATGTATTCAGCTCGTGCTTGTGCTCATCTTCTGTCCAAACCCATACGTGGCGGATACGTGGTAAAGTAGTGAGGCATAGTTGTCATGGAAACAGATCCGAAATGGGATGGACCAGTGATGAGGGGGAGGCTTCTTTCATTTGGTGTGTGCGTGTTTGTGTGTTTGTGGTATCAGCCTCTAAACTACAGCAAGATTTTAAATTTGTTAAAATCGTATCTAATCTAATCTTATCATTTGTACAGTGGTCTCCAGCCTGTAGTTTTAGAGCATGTAAGTAGTTCGCCACCTCCAAAGGATTTTAAGAATTCTACATGATTTATGCGAAATAATTCACATTTTTATCCTGTAACCCCTCCTTCTCGTAAATTATGACATACACTATCTGACCAGTGAAAAGAAAATGATTATAAAAGATAGACTTAGGCTTGAATTGTCATGGGTTTTTAATAAATCACCTAGAAGGAAGAAAAAAAAGCTGGCAAGCTCTTGGCACAACATGAGTTTGTCCTTGTCCCCACTGGCCCTACTTGAATTTTCGTGTTCGCATTTTCTATATATTTTAGCAGTCTTTTGCAGTATAAGTATAGATAAAAAAGGATTTTTAGAAAATATTATTTTTGAGATATATAGTGTATAGGAATCCTGTGTTTCTTGTATAGATTCTTTGGAATTGAGTAATGAAAAAAAGTAATTATATGTGTTACACATTTCTATTATATTATATATTTTATTCTTTTCCTAACACTTTTCCACCTCCAAAATTACTCCGTCTTCTAGTTTAGTATCTGGATATCGCAATGTATCAAGTCGCGAGGGCTAAAGCCCCATTTCCACCCGTCCTACCTGGCCCTCCTCCACCTCTAATCGCTCTCCGTTTCCATCCTGCCCTATTCAGCTGGCACCAGGCCAGGCACTTTATTTAGTACCCCCATGCTTGGCCCGGGTTCTTCCCAATGGCCGGAGGTGGTTCGAAATAACCACTAACTGGACAGTGTAGCGTTTTGGTTGGGCCAAGTAGGGCTGGTGGAAACGGGGGCTATCGTTTTCAAGGCATGCACACCACAATGGGTACCCAAACTCAACTGTTGAGACCCAACCAAAACCAGACTGGAGAGTGTGTAGGTGAGCAGATTTGTACTGTACTTTAATTCTGCTTAAACACAACTACTTCCATTGGATTTGCTAAACAGTCCATTAATTCCTTGTGCGATAATCTGATATTTGGTAATAACATTATTTTCAGTTAAAACTGCAGCGCTTGCTTTTTGCTTTGAATCTATTACAACTATGATATTGACTTGGACATACACACACAGCATCCGAAAACCAGATCCCATTTACGTCACCAGGTTAGGTAAAGTACAGGCAAGACACTTCACCCACATTGCCTATGAGTCTGGTATGTGCGTGTGTGTGTGTGTGTGTGTGTGTGTGTGTGTGTGTGTGTGTGTGTGTGTGTGTGTGTGTGTGTGTGTGTGTGTGTGTGTGTGTGTGTGTGTGTGTGTGTGTGTGTGTGTGTGTGTGTGTGAAGTGGTCGAGGGGCCCATGGCACATACTGGTTGCCTCACTTTTGTTAGTTATGTACACCCCTATGTCTCCAACAGGAGTCTGAGGTCCTCCACTCAGAACCTGTTGATGGTCCCCCGCACTCGCTTTAAAACCAGAGGAGACAGAGCTTCCAGGCAGTTGCTCCTCGCCTTTGGAATGAGCTTCCCCAGTCTCTGCGCTTGTTAGAGACTGTTGATGATTTTAAGTCCCAACTTAAGACGCATTTGTTTAGACAGGCTTTCTCGCCCCACTGTTCATAGGCCTCTGTGAACTGTGTAAACTGTGTTTTTCTGTGTTTTGTTTTTAATCTGACTTGTGTGTGTTTGAATGTGTGAAGCGCTTTGTGACCCTGGTCTGTGAAAGGTGCTATACAAATAAACTTTACTTACTTACTTACTTAGTGTGCCACAGAGCAGCTGTGGCTACAGTAGTAGTTTATCACCGCTGTGAATGGAGTGAAAGAATAATGTGAAGCGTCTTTGAGTGTCTTGAGAAGCGCTACATAAAACTGATACATTATTAGTAAAACACACTTATGCACGCAGGCCTACACATACACACACTGACACACACACAAACACACGCACACACACACACACACACACACACAAACACACAGAGAAAATCAGCTCCATGTATAATATCTAATTATTGAGGTCACTAGTCAGGAGCAGGAGTTACATGTCCAGTGTGTAGAAAGTTTGGGTACCTGATCCCTGTACTTCAACCACAATACAGCAGTAGTTTGAGTGGACACCGTACCCGGCACGCCCCATTCTTAGAACAGTATAGTGTGTGTGCCATGGATTACCGCAAGAGTCTTAATTTAGCTCTTCCAATCCTATGCGCAGAGGCCATGCAGCTCTGTGGCAAAAACAAGACCAAAGATAAAAGATGGACACATAGAATTACATTAGAGTAAATGGAATAGAAGGCACAGACATTTGAGTGTCACAGGGCAGAAGAGTATTATAAGCGGAGCGTGCAAAGGCAGTAATCTCATGTAATCGTATTTTGGGTTTTGATTGAGTGGACTGACTGTTATCAATGCAGGAAAAACAACTAGAGAAGTAGAATAAAATCAAAGCTGTGTCAACTTTTATTACGACAATTCTATTCTTCTCTAGTAATCATTATGCATCCATACATTTGAAGAGTATTGGTTTGTTGTTTTTTTCATAAATTATGCTAGCCCTTCTATGTGTATGCTGCGCCAAAGTGTGCTACATGAGCTCATACTCTAATTGTTTTCAAAAGTATAGACAATCAGATAGATTCATCAATATAGATAAAACATATATCAAAACTACATACTAATTTTCGTATAATGTAATAGTACTGAAATCAGCTAAATCGCATAGGGACAAAATGTGAGTTTATTTTATAAAACAGTATGGTTTTGGTAAGTACTACAGCCCATTGTTCAACAGAAGAAATATAAGTGTTTTTATCACCATAGTATCAATATTGGGTCTTGTTGTTAGTAGTGAAATTGAGTAGTAGTTTATATAGCAACCTGGATTCCCACAAATGTGTTCTTACATTTTTATTGCATCTTTGTATTTTATATTTTTTTCTCCTTGGCTTTGGGCAGGAGGTTTAGTGATCTATTTGTCTGTGAGCAACAGAACCCAAACAGTTAAGGCTGGATTTGGACAACATTCAGGAAACGTGCACAATGGCTCAGTAATTATATTTTGGAGGTGAATTCTTTTTAAAGATTGCAACCGTGCACTCTACACATGTTTGTCTAGTTTATTTCTATAATTGATCTTAGCAGTCTTCTATATCTCTTCATATCAAATGTATGAAAGCAATGCTGGTGCTTAAAGGGTTAAGACAAACAACCTCTTGGTTAGACCTGCATTTAACAATAAGTGTCTATCAATCACTTTACCATAAGTCTTCAGTAGATGCAGTGTTAAGTGGTCTTTGCAGAGACAGGTGTAGTTTGACTGGTTTGGGGGAGGGGCATTGTCTGTGGTCACAAATAATCTGTTTACAAGCCCCCGACCAGTCTGCTTCCATGTTTTGTCCTTCACTCAGACTTTCTTGCACTTTTTCACAAAGCTACAGTCTCCTTTGTTCACCTTGGAATCCGTGAGTGCTTCTATCTACAGATCAGCCTTGCCTATATTGGTGCAAGACCTGGTTCAATATAATAGGCTTCTTATCCCTCCATTATCAAGAACATGTGCCAATAACACGTCTCCTCACAGCACACAAAATCATTCGCCCTTCAGCTGTCAGATTATTGGACTAAAATGAGTTTCTACAGTCTTCCCAGTGTAAAAGCATTGATTTTGTGGTGGATGAACAAACACATACATTATTATACATTATTATCAAGATTGGATTCCAGAGTTCTATGTTCACGTCTATACAGGTTTAGCCGATGGTTCTTCCTCAACAAAGGCAGTCGACAACATACACATGGAATAAAGAATCTGCTGCTTTCAGCTCAAATACAGTGCCCTAATATAAAATGTTGAAAAGGTGTTCTAAAAATTAAGTAACCAATAAATCCATTTGACTCATTTATATTTTTGATGTTCCACTGAAGAGCCACTTCAACAAAGACACCATGATCTGATGCAGGGATTGGAAAATGACATCGTGCTTTTGACTTTATTGCTGGCAGTAAAGGCCTCTGTGTGTGTGTGTGTGTGTGTGTGTGTGTGTGTGTGTGTGTGTGTGTATTCTATGCTGTGAACCACTTTGGATGAGCAGCAGGTCCTCGTCTGTCTTAATATTCTCCAATGTGTCTGGCGCTCTGCTCTGAACATTAGGTCGCCCTGCTTAATCAAACTTTAATCACAGTTATTCTAAACTTACATCAACATTTGCAAACGAATGACAAGGCCTACTGAGATTATTTTACTATTCTTTTGCTCTGTGTTGCATCATATTGCACGAGTCAATAGTTAGTTTGTGAATCTTTCTCTGACTCTGAAGACACAGATCTGAGTTAGACCATATCAAACAGGACCGCTGTGTTAGAGTACGTAACTTCAAGCTTCTGTATATAATCTGTTGTTTTTACAAATGTAATATTTTGTCATATATTATGACCATAACCTCAGAAGAGGATGCTTCATATTATTTTTAGTAGCAGAGATAGATAGATAGATTCATAGAGAGAGAGGTACTTTACTGAGTCTGAGGGAAATTACATTTTTATTTAGCCTGATCACAAACTTCACTTTTAGCCATCGCTTCAATGGTCGACTAAAATAAAGAAAATAAGTAATCTTTATTTATATACCGCCTTTCACAGACCAGAGTCACAAAGCGGTTCACAATTGTGGGCATTTGTCCTCTCACTCCACACAGAGATGGGAGCGGGTTTGCCAGTCCAGGAGGCACATGTCGGACCTATTGTACATGTTTTTAGTGGTAGGGGAAACCGAAGTACGCGGAGGAAACCTATGCAGACACGGGGAGAACATGCAAACTCCAATCAGAAAGGCCCTGTTCTGACCGGGATTTGAACTGAGGACCTTCTTGCTGAGAAGAGACAGTTCTATCCACTCAGCCACTTTTCTCTTACTGACAGCAGTGAATAGAAAGAGTCTCTAAAACTCCTGTGACATATGGCCTCACAATAACTACTTTGTCTTTATGTGTTTTTACCATCCATAGTAGTAATAATGTTGTGTATGCTTGTGTTGCAGACCTTGTGTCCGCCACAAACACCACCAACGTGAACATCCCACAAATGGCTGACACGCTTTTCGAGAGGTCCACTAATGCCAGCTGGGTGGTGGTCTTCAAGGCTCTCAGCACCACCCACCACCTGTGCATCCACGGCAACGAGGTGGGATTACAGGCGTTTCACGCATCTACTTTAAAAAATACACAGAGTTAGGACTTAAAGGTATATAGGAGGATTTTCTACTTCCGGGTGGATCATCAGGACTATTGGTCCTCCTAATTGTCAATCATTCTGCTGATACGTACCACAAAGATTTTTTTCAAAAAGTGGAGAGGGCGGTTCTTTCCTAAAATTTGGCAAAATCCTCCTATATAACTTAAACTGAGACCCAGCGTGAGACCAAGACTATGGCCAAGGGAGTTGCTGAAAGATGTTTGGGATCTCAAATGTAGCAGGTGGCCAGCATTGAAATACTTTATACTTTAAGTCTATGCAAATATAGATAAAGAACAATACATTTACAGTGGCTTCAACACCGGGAAATGGTAAAGGGTCTACACAACGATCACACAGGTTACTATATCAACAAAAACAAGATCAAATCAGGCCTAAAAATACTCTGAACCTGGACTACATCAAGAGACTGTCTCAGATGACCAGCAAGTGAACCAGTGACATATTTGAATCCTGCAAAATGAGGCAGTAAGATGTTCATACTTTGACAATAATTGAACTAAAACAGAACGCTTTCATTGACATAATTGGTTAATATGTTACCCATGGCTAAATAATGGTAATAGATATCATACAAAAGTTAATGTCTGTTACTTTTCAAATTGTTAAGAAAGGACTTTTTTGAAGACAAGAACTGGTTAGACCTCTGCAGCCTCCTGATTGGTCGAATTCAAATCCTTGATGCCCTGTCGTTATTGGTTTATTCAGTATATAACTATTCTACTCATCAAATCTTACTGGTCATAGTGATGTCAAAAGGAGGAACTATAAAAAATCTAGCACTGTTGAAAAATACATACTGCACATAATAGTACAGTGTGCCATGATCCGAAATATTTATCGGATTAAAAACAAGTACAATTTAAGTTACTGACGTCCCCTTTAAATGTATATGTGCTTATGACGATTATGATATTTCCTTTTACATAAAATATGGTTTGTATCCAACTGCTTCCTCTGCGATCACACTGTATTTGCCATTGCAGACTTTTGTTCTATTGTAAAAAGGTTTTGTGGTTGGCATGTTTTTGAATGGCTCATTGTGTAACTCTTGTCTGTCTTCTTCAGAGATTCATTCAGTACTTGGCTTCCAGGACTGCCCTTTTCAACCTCAGTAATTTCATTGACAAAACTGGCTCTCACGGTAATAAACCCCCACTCTTGTGCCTTTTCTTCTGCTGATTTAACATGTAACTGTGCTATAATTACCGTTTGATGGCATTTAGGTTACGACATGTCAACTTTCATCAGACGATACGGGAGGTACTTGAATGAGAAAGCCTTTGCCTACCGTCAGATGGCTTTTGATTTCACCAGAGTCAAGAAAGGGTGCGTTAATAAAAAAAATCCTACTTGTTTTCACTTCTCAGTAACAATTCAAAATGTGAAATAAAACGTTGTGTCGTGTTATGATCAGTGCTGAGGGCGTGATGCGGACCATGACCACGGAGAAGCTGTTGAAAGCGATGCCCGTGCTGCAGACACAGATTGACACGCTGCTTGAGTTTGACGTGAGTTTTGAAAATTATTACCAACTTTATTATAGATTTATTCACATAACCAATCATTTTTGTTTGTGTTTTACTTCTAGGTTCATCCAAAGGAGCTGAACAATGGTATCATCAATGCTGCATTTCTGCTGCTCTTCAAGGATCTGGTCAAACTGTTTGCCTCGTACAATGACGGCATCATCAACCTATTAGGTTAGTAATCGTATTCTACAGGTGAAGCTTCTGTAAAATTAATCAGTTTATTTCTGTAACTCAATTTAAAGTGTGAAAATAATGTATTTGTTACACGCAAAGTGAGATAAATTTGAGTAAAGTAAAGAAAATAAAGTTATGAGGTTGATAATTGGTTCTCAGAAAAATAGAATATAAATACAGTCCAAATATAAAATGGACATTTTCAAAACCCTAACCCTCTTTGTTTGTTACCATCTACAATGATAACACTGCATGTAATGATACAGTGGCCAATGCTCCACCAACTGAGTTGGTCAACTGAACTCAGTTGGTAGAGCTGGTAAAGAGTATATACCCTGTATTGGTTTCACATTTTAAGTTGATTTACTGAAATACATGAACTTTCTGTTTAAGTTTAAATTAGGCACATTATTCTTATATTCTTAAATGTTTTAAAAGCCCTATGTTTTAATCCACAGTTTGAAATCAAATGTTTTAAATGTATTGCGTTCATAGCATTCATTGGGCATGTTGTTTTATGTTTGTTATTACTATTATCATTTTTTTTTAGAAAAATATAGCACAGGGGAGTACAAGAATATGAAAATTTGCAAAAGTTCAAATGAAATGCCTAAAATGTAAATGTGGACACTATGGCTCATATGTGTTCTATAATGCTTTCTATAAAACTATTCATTTACTACAGAGAAATACTTCAAAATGAAGAAGAGTGAGTGTAAGGAGGGCTTGGAGATTTACAAGAGGTTTTTGACCAGAGTGACAAAGATCGGTGAATTCATGAAGCTTGCTGAGGTACTCGTCTTATTTACTTTGATCAAGTCATTTTCATGCAATGTATTAATATTAATAATGTTTCTGTTTTCTTCACAGACAGTGGGAATTGACAAAAATGACATTCCTGACATTAACTATGTAAGTCATCACATGCAAAATCGCTGTATTGACATTCTACTGGTTATTGAGCTGAACACACCGTTAATGTCAGTAGTTGAAAAGAAACAGAGCCCTACAATGCTGTTTAGGTGTGCAGTTTGTGCAAGACAGCCTAGGAATTTACAGGAACGAATGGCAGCTTTAGTATTAAAGGGGATAAAGAACCTCATCCACAGCCCCACGCGATTGAGAACTGGGGGATGAAAACTTCGAATCAGGTTTTTGAGTTGAGATAAGATAAGATAAGAAAAAAAATCCTTTATTCGTCCCACAGTGGGGAAATTTCATTGTTGCAACACACATACAGGACAGTAGTAAGAGCTCACAGGGAGCACACAAAATATACTTTATATAAGTGGCTGCTGTATGTTTCTTAGCTATCTGTAAATGCTTCAATATCAATCTTTCGATATACTGTATGTCTATCTATCTATCCATATATATAGTGCACAGTTATGTACATATAGGGTAGGGTAAGTAGATAAAGTGACATTCAGTGGACCTTCTGTTTCTCTTGTCATTATAATTTGTAAATAGAAAACACATTTATTTGACAATATTTAGCTTCTCCCACTAACAATGAGTGATTTTTATGTCATCATTTATAATCTCTGTAAAACATAAAAACAATTCTGCCTTGGTGTGTAAAATTTCAAGCCCAACTGTGTGTTTGAAATGAAGAATCAATCTAACATGCGGCAGACAATCACTGACAATCACAGTGAGCAGAATTCTAAAAGACACAAGACACAACAAAATACATCCAAGTACAAAGGAACCGACATCATTTATGCCTGTTTTTTTAACCATAAAATCCCTCTCAGTGCCTCCACCCGGGCGCCGTGGTGGATCTCGCAGACTCAGACGACGAAGATTGTCTTTTCAAACCTCTCGAGGAACCGGTAACCATAGCAACAGTGCGTGCCTATGCCGAGTGCCTGTTTGCAGGATGCTGTGTCCATAATAACTTCACAAAGCACAAATTGGTGTTACTCAACGCCAACTCTATTGTGCTAATTCCTCCGTGTTTATCACTTGCAATACACGTGCAGTGCTTTAAGGCGAGCTCAAAACGCACCGCTGTGTATTGTATTGATTTTCTGTCTGTGGATTTGTTCTTAGGCTCCCAGCAGTATCTTGGAGTCCCTGGAAACCCACATGAATGGCCTGGAAGATGCAAAGGGTGGAAAGAAGGGGTAAGCTTGGGAAATGAGTTAATCGATGTTTTGAATCAATGCTGTCTGACCCAAAAAAAAGAGGTGTTATTGCCATTTTTAGAGCGATCCGAGGCAAACGGTTGTCTTTAGTGCTATTTGTCAAAGTGATGACAGATATATATAATGTATGTAAATATGGTAATCACAGGGGTGGGAATCTATAGGTTTTTTTCTTCCTCCCACTCCTTTTTGGGTTTGAATCATGTACATTATTATAATAAGTATTTGTTTATTAAGATTAAGAGATCCTTTATTCGTCCCACTGTGGGGAAATTTCAGTCTTGCATCACAAGTTACAGAACAGCAGGATTGAGGAGCACACAGCACAAGATAAATGAACGATAAGTCTATACTAAAATATAATAAAATAGTTTAGCATAAAAATAAGCAGTATAAACTATCTATCTTAAATGATGAATTAATGAAAGAATGAATTATTTTTTAGAAGATTTTATCTAGTTACAACTCAAAATAAATTAACACTCAACTCAATTTTTATACAATGGGCATCAAGCTTAGGCAGAAGCAGTGCGCAAACCTAGAGCAGGTCTTCTAAGGTCTTTCTGTCCCAAACAAAGCATATCACATCGCAAAAAATGATAAAATATGAAGTAAACATTGCTTAAATCAAGTGTTAATTTGAGCACATTCTGACTGACTAAAAAACAAGATTTGTCGGTGGAACAAGCCGTTTAGTCTTACATAAAGAACTGTTGCTTTTTTTGTCTTGCTCCAAGCAAGACATTTCTTGCTTGGAATATCTTTTTGCTTGTCCCTTTGGAAAATCATGTTATAAGGCAGTCGACATGTGCTAAAATTAAGATACATTGCCAAATCAGTTTTTGGAGTGCAGAGCTTTTAACATTCAGGAAGAAAAGGCAGGGTGGAGGAGTGTGAGTTTGGAAAGGGCCACAGGGGGAGAACAGGAGATTGAATAGACTTATCAATCACTGCACAATGACACCAAAGCCTAGATAAATCTGAAACCTCTGAAGCAAAAAGGCGTGTGTCTGAGCAGGCGCAAAGACCCACTGGTCCGTTGGGAATAATTGAACTGTTGTATTTTATATTTATCATGTTATTAATCTAAAAATGAACCGGTTTCCACGACAAAAGACCTTTACAACTCACACTGCCCTGCACTCGGAAATGCCCTATTTTTGCAAAGACACTAGCAAATATTGTGTTTCATTAACCCAACCTCTCTTTTATCCTTTTATGATCGTTTGGAATCACCAGTGAAGGGTGAGCGACACATGTTTTCCTTGGCGATGACCACTAATATGTATAGCTGCATATGTATTGGTACTACCACTTCCTCTTTGCCCCTTTTTATTCACATGCAGCAAGCCTCCATGTGAATAGACACTGTATTTTTTCTGTGCACCCTGACTGTTGAGCATAAAGAATTAGGATTGTGTTGGTTCACAGAAACTACATTTTCACCACATTCCATACGATGAGACTCAAGATATGAAGAGTTTACCAACACACTGTGCATTCATTAAAACATGTAAATTATGCACACATTAAAGATGCATTAGACTTTTTCAATCTGTAGTCGCAGTGTTAGAGATGCTGCTATGTGTGCTGGTGTGATAGAGAAATTGTTTACAAAGTTTGTCTACTGCAGCTTTAATGCCTGTAATACACTGCAAATAATGATGAAATATAAGTTAAAAAAAATGCTCAAATTGGCTAAATGCATCTAAATTTGAGCACATTTTCACTGCCTTTTGTTTTGTTTTGTATTTAAATATATACAATAATTCTGTCATAGAATTAGGAAATAAAGGCATTCAGAATATATTGAAATTAAGATTAAAACACTATTAAAGCATTTATTTCCTCATATTTTATCATTTTTGCAGTAGTTTTGTGAGTAGGTTCAAATAAAACCTGCTTAGATTATGTACTCTTCATAATCTCATGATCGTGAGTGTGTTACTCTCTTCACAACAGCCCTGTGTGCATTATCTGACTGTTCTATTACTCTTTCCTCTCTCTTTTAGGTCTCCAACAAAGGTGAGCTCCTCCTATTCTTGCTCTTTGTCATGCGTGGAGGCCTTTTTCTTCATGGATGCTTACTTTGTTACTGTCCAGGGTTCTCCAACAAACAACGTGTCCCCTACTTCCACTCCAGCCAAATCTTCAAACGCTGTCCCCACACTGCAGCCTCCTCCTGGGGACGGTGCCGCAGCCGCCGCCCCTGCAGCTCCAGAACCAGCCGAAGAGTATGTAGTGATGTCGTAAATGTAATGATTGTATTTTTTGTCAAGGTTAAGGTGTTGAGATTCATTTTCATCTCTTAAACTGAGTGTTATACTTGTTATTCCTGCCCTTTTTTTGGCCTAAATGGCAACAATCCAAAGTCAAAAAGGAGGCGTACATAACTTCCTTTTTTAATTTCTTAACCCTATTTGCATGTAAAAAAATCTAAAAATATGATAGTTACGTCAATGTCCCAATATTTATGGCCCTGACTCAATATAGTCAAATGCTATTATTATTAATTTTTTTGCTGTGGGAAAAACATAACATAATAAGTTTTAAACAGTTTTCATCAGTAGTCCAGTTATTTTCTAACATATTTAATTATTGCTTGTATCATTCATCTTTATTAAGGACACAATGTATACACTCCATAGGTAAAAATGAATAAATAAATAAATACATAAAAAACATACAGTATATTGCCAAAACTAAATTTCCGATAATTCTAAAAATTCACATAATATTATATTCAAATCTAAGTTTGTGACACAGAATCAAAGGAGTGCAGTGATTGTGGAACCAGTTCGATGAGCAGATGTTTCTTCTGTGCAGATCCTTGTTGGACCTTGATCCACTGTCTTCCACGGGTCCTTCAGAACCATCAGCTGCACCCACGTCATGGGGAGGTAAAGCCATGTTACTGTGATACTTTACAACCGTGTACTGTGTATATAGAGTTGAAGTAATATTGTTTGGCTGTATTACAGTGTTCAAATGTGCAGTAAAATCAATAAATCTGATACAGACATTTTTTACAATGATTTTCTTCACTTTGAACTAATTTGCTATTTTTTACATTTTCAGACCTCCTTGGATCTGGTAAGAGAGTTTTCCCTTTTCTCGCCATGAGTTTTTTAGTATAGAAAAATATTCAATTTTATTAACAAAAACACATATGAAAGGTACTTATTTTAGCATGATGCGTCCACTTCAATTCACAACACACTTTTACATTTTGCCACTGGATGAGAGTCAAAACTGCCATAATAATGTCTATCCACATATTCCTTTAGCACTACTCTAAAGTTAGAGATGTTTAGAATATATTAGATTATGACAATGTTTCCCCTTGTTCGTGTTCTCTTAGTGTCTGTTTTTCTCTGCCTTCTCTCCCTTCCCTCCACATTCTTCATTGTCTGTTTTTGCCTACCAACGGGGGCTCTTATTACGTTTGCTTATATTGGATTATTTGGATTATAATTTATACTTTTATTCTTTACAATTTGGTTCCTGTGGTCACTCCTTTGGGTTATTTTGGTTGCACTTTTGGGTGGGCTGTTCTTTTGTTGGCCGCTTGGATACCCTGACACCTACAGAAATGGGCGATTCGTTGCTAGCCGAACCCGCCATGGCTGCAGAGCCCGCCCCCTCTCCGGCAGCAGACACGCCCACACCAGCAGAAGCCCCGCCTCTAGCTCCTCCCACTAGCACAGCATCGGCCTCCTCCCCAGGCGCCGCCAATATGGATCTGTTGGGAGGTCAGTGGGCTTCCAGAGAGTAGCCTATGAGAAGCTCTGGAAAGCTCAACACACAGTATGACCACACAGATACATGCATGCTACAAAACAAGGTTTCTGATCAGGTCAAACATTGACAACTCTATCTTTTATATTTCTTCAAGTTTTGGTTGGTGGAAAAGTCTGCCAAAATAGATATTTATTCAAGAGACATTACCGATTACCAGTGTTGGGGAGAAAACTTCATATTATTGTATTTGGTAACAAATTCTGGTACCTGGTCCATTTAGAGTACTATATTCAGAATACTTGGATTACTTTTTTTCTTCTCATTTGTATAATATTGTTGTGTAATAAATGTGGCGATCTGTTTAAAGGTGATGTCAGCAGCCTATATTGTTTTTTAATTTTTAAAAGTATGCATATGTCTGACCATGACACATAGCAAAAATATATGCAGAAAGTATTTTTCAACGACAATAATAGGAGGAGAATAGTTCAACCGATTACACGGGATTTTAATTTATTGACCAATGAGGAGGCTGCAGGGGTGAGAACCATTTTTCTGCACCCTTTTTACGCAGACACCCCTAAAAAAGACATTTTATATTGTTTTTGTGTTTAATCGTGACCAAATTATAAGTACAAATAACAACATGTATCTCTGAATTTTTACAACTGGATTCTGAATACCACTACAAAAGTGATGTATTTTGAATTCAGTAAAAAAAAAAAAAAATTATTCTGAATATGTTACATGTATTCTGTATCTCTCCAACACTGCAGATTACTTTATTGGATTGTTTTTTTGGTCAAGAAAAGAAACGGAGGCATGTTTAAAGTGAATGCTAGCGTGAGTCCATTCATTAAAATCTACCTGTATTATAGTATCTCAACTGATTATTTCCATTATTTCTATTCTAAGATTTTCATATGTATTGGAATCAGTTCATTTTCACTAGTTTACTATTAATACCTTTCATGTACAAGTTTTATACACATACAATACATACATTTTTATACAACAGTTTAAATGCTATGTATAGACAGATAACGGATATCTCTTGATTACAGGCTAACATTCTCTTCAGACATGCATCAAAAGACAGTTGTGTGTATGCTAGCTCAAATTGGTAATGCTAAACAACCAATAAGTGACAATGTTTTGCCTGATTGGTGAAAATAGAAAAATCTACATCAAATCAAGATTTTCTTTGTCCTGCAAGAAAAGCTGCATCATCAGAGGTTACCTTGTGATGCACTTCCATAAATCATTCTAGCTTCTGACTTGCAGGACAGAGTAGAAACACTTTTAAAAACGCTATAATGTGCATAACCGCATTCACACTTTCACCTTGGCTTGCACAAAACCTCTGCTCCCCACATGGATCTTGTTTGATACAGACATATGCTTTCCTTGATAAAAAAGCAAATCTATCAAACCCACTGTGTCTTACGGCTACAGCTTCTAAACGACAGCTGTGCCACCTTTGGTCACTGCTGGTGTTATCTTCACACCAGAGGGCTGAGCTGTCTTGTATGTAGTGCCTCCTGTGTGTACTCCCATTCGTTCATTCACCTGTCAATCATGAATGTTGCACAAGAAGGCTTTTCCGCTTGTTATGCACAGTTCAGATTGATGTCTGTTTTGGTGGGGCGTGGAATTGCCTTAATCTCAGTCTCTCTCTTCTGTCTCTATCTCGCGTGGCGTTTCTCTTTCCCGCTCTGTGTGAACATCAGACACATTTTCCACACCGGCTCCCGCCTCTGATGCGTCTGCTGCTGCGGCTGAAGGCGGAGCTGCTGCCACATCTGCCCCTGCTGCTGCTGCTGCTGCTGCTGCCGGTGGGTGACTCACTCTGTACATGAGTTTGTGCTGAAGTGACACTAAATCGGAGGTCTGGGATGTCACAGTAACACAAATTAGTGTGAAATAACAGTGTAATCTTATATTTTCTTTTAGCATTTTTCTTTTAACATCTTTCAATCAAAAAAAATTACTTTACTAAAATAAGCCTTTAATAAATTGTGGTCAATATAGACTTTATTATTATTATTTTTTACAGTTCTAATGCATCCTGAACTACTGAATAATGGAAGTGATTCATTAATCTTTCCATCCCCAATAACAAACTTTTGAGCTACAGTAAAGTCCAAATACAGTATACTCCAAATACTCACTGTAAAAAGCCATTCCTATATATAGATTTCTGTGTGTGTGACATCCTTTCATAAATTGAATATAGTGCAAAATGTAAGTGATGAGCAAACCCCAAGGCTGCGCTTTTGGACCATTCATGTTTTTAATTAAGAGGCACTTTTTGGCCCTGGATGTGGTACATAATTCTCTTGTTAGTGTTTGCGTAGTTGACATTTTGCATGTTGCCTCGCTGCTTAAAACTTGGCTTACTTTTGTCACACTTTTCATCACTGGCAAAAGTCTTGTGTCTATTTGCATCTTCATTGTTAGAAGATGGAGCTTCATAAACTTCAAAAGCCGTAGTGTGGGTAGCTATTGTCTGCTGCAAAGATTGCTCTGGTCTTGTACACAAAATCTTGTTCTCTTGTTTATTCTCAGCTTAATATCTGTTTTTTTTTTTGTTGGTCTTTGATCTTGATGTTGGTGGATGATTCCCAAAAATTCCGCAATCTCCCTTACCATTGCTAATTTCACTATTCACTATCACTGTTGTTTTCCTACCCAGTCTTGCCTCCAACCTGTCCTCTCAAAAGCACTTCTACACATGTTCATTGTAAAGTTTTATTCACCATGTGTTCATTTCCTCACCCAAGACCCCTTCGCTTCATCAGAAGGTAGCCCCAACGCCGCGTCCGCTGGCTTAGACCTTTTCTCCATGATGGACAGTGATACACCTGCCGCTAGTTCTATGGACGCGTGTTTTCCCTCGCAGCCTAGCCCCTCCCCCTCATCGCTCTTCAGCTCCGCCTCCACCACCATCACAACCACCGCCACCATCTCCGCCCCCGACGCTAACCACTCCACCAATCTGTTCAGCGGTAAACCAAACATGAGGTCTCAGCCTGTGCCCATGCCTGGCCTCTGTGCATCCAATCAATCTGTGGGAATGTACATTTTTCTGTTTTTGAGGAGAAAATCCACAATTTCCCATGTTATAGAATTAAATCTACAACCTAACCAAAGTGATGGTCGCATAATAAGGCTTTACTCGTATTCAACTTTGCTTGCTATTGCATAAATGCATGACATGTTTAAGCTTAATTTAATTGTATGAATTGTTCCAGGCAAAGTAAAACTCATTGAAGATAAACTTATTTGTTAGTAAAAAATAGTAGTAAAGATACATATTCACGCTAATCTAGTTTATTTACCATTTGCAGTTTAGAAGAACATTGGAATACTTATGCACAAGTTCCCATTACCCAGTGAGCACCAGAAACAACTATTTTTAGACACTAATAGGTTACGCCAATATTACAATTTTTGAAAGAAATGTTGAAAAAGTAATTGTTTTCTCTGACCATTATTTGATAGTGATTAGCTTCACAAACCTGCCATATTATTCTGACGTCTGAAAGCCCTTTTTGATTTCTGTCACCACTTCTAGCCACCTTTATGAGGAAATTATAAGACCAGTTGACAATTACCGTCAGAGAAGAAGTAGACATTTTTTAGACAGCTTTTGTTTCCGTGTGGATTGGCCTAGGAATTACAGAGGATATACATGTAGATCTCTGTCTTTTTCCATTTCTAATTTTAAAACATAAGTTCTTTTGAATGTGGTGAAGTCACAGGAACACAACCTCGATTGGGAAAAGCAGTGCAGTGATTTTAAACTTTTATCTGACCCAATGTGCTTGCATCAGTCAAATTGCACGACTATCTGTATTGTTGGTTGGTCTTGGTTATCTCCGAATGCTCACCAATAACATTCTTAAGCATTTGTACAGAAGCTATGGCAAGGTACTACCTCTGATACTTTGGTCTCTAATAAAGGGCTATGACCATGACCACTGAATAGTAACCATATATGCATGTTTCTATAGATATATTTAACTCTATGCCAGACACAAGCTTTGCCCCGTCGCTGCCTCCTTCAAACGCTGACTTGTTCACAGCAGGTATATACCGACACCCGGACTCGGACTTGTGCGGTGTTGCTCTCTGATATGGCTTGCTGTTCCTGTTTGTGCCTGCAGAACTAAGTGTGAAGCCAAAGTTCTCACAGTCTCTGCATGGTTTGGTTTTGCACTGGTGGTTTTTGTTTTTCTTTAGAGTGACTTGAGTTGAATGTGACGGTGTCTAAAAGCCATCTCCACCTTCTTAGCGGACGTGTTCAGCTCCCCCGCCCCCATCCTCTCCTCAGCACCACCTGCAAAATTAGACACTGGAGACATCATGAACCTGTTTAGTGGTGGGTAACGTATAAGTACTCCCCTGGTGTGCCGTATGATAGACGAAGCAAAAGTAACATTGGAAACGAATCTAAAACGCATTTGTGGAGATGTCGTCCAATCTCTTTCCAAATAGTTTCAAAAGTTTTTTTTATATATATAGCGGTCAAATTGTCAGTTGCAGATGGGAAAACACAACAACAAGCATCAACAGAGTAAGAAGAAAGACCTAATTCATAATAATACATTGATAATAATAATTTAGATACATGCTAACCTCAACTTAACCTGTTTTTTTTTAAGTGGTGCATACTTTTAAAAAAAAAAAGGGCCCTTTGAGTCACTTTTTGACGCTTTTTTCACTTTTCTATCTGAAAATGCTGATCTAAAGATGTGATAGAGGCCAAAAAAACAAGTAAAAACTAGGTTGAGAGCTAGGGATGAGTTAGCTGGATTTTATTAGATAGTTACATTTTGGTGATATGAAAGTTGAGTACCTCAGCTTTAAGAAGTTATTAACTCCCTGAAGAACTCTTTCCAAACTGTTTAACTATTATGGATTGTGGATTACTCTGAAGGACCTATATATATATTATAACATGTTAAATAGGCTTGATATTTTTGTTGCAATTTTACTAGTAGAGCATTTTCCTACCATTGAGTATGAAATGCTTCTCTGTGACAAGCCTAAAAGAAATCGGAATCATGCGCAGGTGTTGGTGTATCGAAGCAATTTTAATGTCAGTCCAATTGTGGAACACTTTTTCAGCATTAGCAGTGTGCACCTGAAGGCTGACTATTCCCCTTCTTTACTCCAATGCAACGGGATGGACTCCATTTGCGACCCTTTTGTTTTGGGCCTAACAGAGTCCACCGGAGATGCCACAGCTGCTGCCCCCGCTGCTGCTGCTGCCCCTGGAGCCGAACTCATGTCAGGTAATGTGCCTCATGTGCTTTCACTCTACAGGCATGAAGCATTTCACAAAACACACTGTGATGGTACACTCATGCATGCACGAGTTGTGAAGTTTTGTATAGTGTTGTGTTACCGAGTTTAGTATGCTAACTACTAACAACTAACTTTGTGGTGACAATGGCATGATGTGAACGAATACGGCTGCAATCCTAAGCCAGTTCTTAACACTTTTTAGCACCGTTTAGCAGTGTGACTATGTTGTATGCATATAATGGCAACTATAACCTACTATATGATCAAATAAATCTAAAGTCATTCCAAGTGCCCCCGGGGAAGTGCTTGCGTATCCTAGGGTAACATAGATTTACCAGTACAATCACACATTGTTTTCTGTCGTGCACATTCCCTGGTCTATACATCTTTAGACTTCTCTGACTTGCTTGCTTGTCATTTCATCTCCTCTCATTATGCTCGCTGGTGTGTGACCACTGTTGTGGCTATAACCTGCTCTCCAATCATTCACATGGTTGTCACAGCTTTATTCTTTTTCTATTTCTCTGGCATCTGCGCTTTCGACTCCTCCTCTCCCTCGCTGCTTCCTCCATCTGGCTCTTGGGCTGGCTTCTTTGCTTGCTTCCGGCCATGTGATTGGGTGAGTTTTCTTGCTCTCTCTCTCTCAACTCGCTAATTTCCCATAGTGCACTGCATTGCAGCAGTGCAAGCTCTGCTGCACTGTCCTTTCTATCACACGCTTGACTCTTGCAAACAACCCCTTTTTACCGCTGTGGTGTCAACACAGACATTTAGGCAATGAGAGCTGTGTTTAAAATGACTGTTTTGCTTTTATCACACAACACTTTAAACATGTACAGAGGTTAATGGGCCAAACGTCCTCAGCAACCTCAAATCTAGATATTAACTTAAATGGGTGAAAGTCCGAAAATTAGAATATTTTTTCAAAAGTCCATTTACTTCAGCAATACATAAATAATTGTGAACCGTAAATACATATACAAAGTGAGGAATCAAGCCTTTATTTGTTATCATATTTTGAAAATGGTCTAAATCATATATTGTGATAAATCAACAATTTAAGTTGAATACATTACAAAAATATTCTAATTCCTTTCCTTTCTCCTGTACACTTTTGCTTGAGAGAAGTCAGTCCAGCTGTAGATAACACTGAGCAACTCTCAATTGGTTTTCAATGCAGTTTTCTTGTCTTTGCCGTCATGTAGGCGTCTTGTAGAGTTCTCCATGTAGTTTGATGAGTTCTGACGCATGTGAAGTTTGCCTGCTTTGGAGAATGCTTAACCCCTCGTTGTCCTTCCCTCTGCCTGTGCCTGTGCCTCTGTAGTGTTTGATGGATTAGGAGATTTGATGAAGCCCACTGTGAACCCTCAGGCAGGGGATGTTGACACCTCCATGGCTAACATGGCGAGTAGTAAGTAGTCTTTGGACATCCTCCACTTTTGCATGTACATGTTGTTTTGATGTGAATATGACATAGAATGATCTTTTGGAAAATTATTGACAAAATGATGCAATCGTAATCTCTATATAATACTCTTGTTGAAATACAAAAGCATTTTCTGATCCCAACTCTTCTGTGTCTTGCAGATCTCACAATGGGAACAGCCCCTCAGGTAGCTCCCCCCAGTTGGGGTGCCCCCATGGTAAATGTTTGTCTGTGTTATTGCATGGAGTGTAGGCGCATGGAGGCAACAGACAGGCTTCATCTGGCTCTCCAGGTTCCACATCCCAGTCTCCAGCCATGTACAACATAAAAACAAGCAGCTACACAGTTTTACCAAAACAATCTTGTGAAATTCTGGAGAATGATGAAGTGTCAGAAATTCTGTCAAAAGTGAAACTGTTGCTTGGAAACAGCTTCTGCTTCAGTTTTATTTCCTTCTTTAGCTTCTACATAAAAATAAGTCTCACATAAAAAGAAAACTCTGATTTTATGTGCTTTATCCACATTTATTTTTGTATTTGCAATTTGACCTCTGATCCACAACACATCTGAATTCTGCTGATAAGAAACGCCATAGTGCATGCAAGAAGTTTGATTCTAAATATTCATAGATACCTACTTTGTCCTGTTGATTTGGTCATGTCCTTTGTGTGTTTTGTGTGTCTTGTGTTGAGTCAGTTACATGTTCTGTAGTAACATCCCACCTCCTCCTCTCCCCATGCCCCCTCCATTCACTAAGGGTGCTCCTATGGGTCTCCCTCCTTTTATGGGGACTCACCCCTGCTACAGTATGGTAAGAGCATCAGCCCCGTCCAGTCCTTAATGACCCTACACCAAGGACATTAATGGACTCTCAAGGACACGGTTCCCTATAGAGACCATCAAACATGACTTTTTACCCTGACTTACTGAGTGTGTGTGTCTTTATTGAAGGCCGGTTCACCAGGAGCTCCCATGATGCCGATGGTGAGGCCAGCTGGCGCAACCCCTGTCCCTGGAGCACCGGTACACTCCTCTCACTTTATGACCCATATTTGTATTGTCACTACAGTCTGATGATAGCGCCTGAATTATTCTGCTTATAGATGTCTGGAGCTGCCCAGAGTCCGAGAAAGCCCCCTCCTCCCAGAAATGCCCTGGATGACCTGAATATTAAGGATTTCATGTAGGCCGCGCGACAGGCCATTTCAGAAGGTGTTTGTCACTGTGTACATAGTAAATTCAGTATATGTGTTTTTTTTGTTATGCCTCAATACAACATTTATTTATTTATTTTATACTGTTTTGTTTTGTGCCTGCAGGTCTGTCAATGTGTATGGAGCTCTGTGGATTTGGATGTCTGCACTTCCCCACTGCCTCCCCTTTGTCCCTCTCAGCCAATCCGCCACCATCTATACTAACTTCACCCTCTGGCTTAGTTAAAGCCCTCCTTTTCCTATCTAATGTTGTAGCACAACTGTGAATGTGAACCCTAGAAACAGAAAAATTCAGTTTATGTGTGCGTGGGTGTGTGTAACTCAGTGTTAACCTTTACTTAATATACTCTGGAAAATTTAACAAAAACAAATAAATGTGTATTTAGATCCATTCTCCACATATCAGCCGACTTGAACAGTGCATACCGTATGTGTTGGTTCTGTGCATTCCCCAGATGAGGACTGTGTTGTTAAACGTGGACTGTATTCAGTGTGTGTAATTTCACCTGCCAAGGCCCACCCAGTCCTTCGACGCTCAAACTAAGTATCATTACCACTCAGATGTTCTTTCTCTGCAAGCATCCTCCTCCTGTTGACTTTCAGACACTCAAATGTGACAGCATGCACTGCAAATCAAGACTTATCAAGGAGCACGTCTGTGTTCGCATTTTGTTTTTTATTTTTTTCAGTGATTGTTTGGAAATCTGCGATAAATTGTGAACTGTGCTCAAATTGTATGCATTGTATTCTATTTTAACTATAGATTTTACATATTTTATTTACTATTTATTTTCAAATGGGGGGAAAATAATATATTTTAGTTACATTCACAATGTCATGTCAAATCCCTTATTTACAAGTAGACGCCTGAATAAAAAGGGTGTATTGCGGGGATCTTGCCTGCAGTGGTATGTCTTGCACACTCTGCTGGTTAATCATGGTACTACATCATCAATTCAAAAGTATTTGGAGACAGGAGGTCGGTCTACATTGGGTCATTCGTAAAGCAGTGGCAGAGGACAGTACATTGGCTGAAGTCTTGGGGACTCCCACTGTAAAGCACTCAAGTATGCTGGATGTTCTGTGTATCGTTTCTTTCCAAAGTGAACTGTATCTTAATCCATTGTGGAATTACAAAGTGTTGAAAGAAAATAAAGACAAGTATGATTCATAAAAATATCTAAGAATGTGGACATTGAGTTTACATTCTCGCGGACGGCATCGCTCTCCCTCATCTGCATGTGAGCCCAAATGAGATGCAATAAAAAAACAAAACAATTACACCGGTCCAATCATGGCTTATCACTCATCTCTGTTTGGGTTGGTTTTTATTAAGAACAAATTCAAATCATATTTTAATAGTACTAGGATACACTTCCTCTTTAAAAGTGCAAAGCTTCAAATTTGTAACAAAAAGTAAAGTGCAGTTCTACCTTTGCAAATAATGAAAAGAAAAAATTGAATGGAAATAGCAAAAAAAAAGCCTCATTTTCTTTGAGGGTTGTTTCTCACTTTTGTTTGTCTGTTTAAAAAGAATATTCCAGATTACACCCTTGATATCTCTACCAAAGACCCCCCTGAATGTATGTGGGACTTAACAAACATGACATTTAACCATTGTTATGATAAAGAGTAATGCATATTTAATCAATAAAGCAAAAAATGAAAAATTTTGATTCAAGGCAGTAGCGCACACTGCCCTGAATCAAATGAGCCATAAAAGACCACACAACTCAAATATATATTACACTGCATCAAGGAAGTACTCTGGCTCTCACCCTTTTTGTCCTCTTCATGAATGATCTCTCTCATCTGAGTCCTGGTGAGATTCAGTCCTCAAGCAGACCAGGCACTGTAAATGACTGTCTCCTCCATGCTGATGACACCACACTGTTTGTCGCATCGCAACAACTCCCTCTAATGGTAGACAAAGTAAAAAAAAGATCTCCTGGACATTGCTCAGTGGGCTAAAACCTGGGGTATGCAATTCAACCCAAGTAAAACCAAAACAATGTTGTTTTCCAAAGTCCAATGTACTAACACTAACATTCAATTCATGGACCGTCCAGTTGAAATGGTCAAAGAACACCTCCATCTGGGATTCAGGTTCACAAAGCTCCACTCATCTTGTTGGTCTGGTCCACTTTAACTGGACCAAGAATAGTTCCCTTGGGGCAAAAATGCTTCGCAGATCTATTTCAAAAGTTGCTAGAAGAAACATGTTCACTTATTTGATGATTTTGCATTCTCGTGTCCCATGTGAGCCAGACTTACGTAATTAAGTAAGAGTAAAAGTGTCACTTCCTTAAAGCTGAGGTAAAAAGAGGCTTGATTCTATCACTAGTTGCTACATGCATGTATTTTTTGGCCTCAGTCACATCTTTAGATCAGATTTTTCAGTGTAAAAAAGAGAGTACCAGCTTTTATACTAGAATACAAGGTTTTCTATTGATGAAGACAGCCTGTTGTGGTCTGATGTGTTCAGAATGTGTTACTTAAACAAGGGGTAAAAACAATGTATTTATGAAACAACAGCTCTAGACACAGCACAGGGGTTGGTAAAATCATTTCAAATCTTTTTACAAAGTTTGGGGTCACCGTGTATCCAGTGGCAGATTTGTGCATACTTTGCGGGCGTGATTCTCACTGCTACATTATACTCCCTCTGCTCTCCATCCCTCACCTCCACCCACTGAGGCCCTGTATACACTCCGATCACCCTCCTCTGCCACTTCCCCCAAGCTCCCTCCCTCAGCCGCACATATACCCCGGCCCCTATGGCACCCGTCTGCGCGTCGCAATGTTGATAAATCAGATCGTCTGACTCCTTTGCCACAGAGCAGAACCTGTAGACCACTCTCTCCTTTCCACGTCCGTCCAGATGGCTTTTATCTGCGTCGAAGCTCGAGAAGTGAATTCGTCCCATAGAAGTTTTGACTGGTGCCACCCCGAGATCCATGGGCTTTTGTTTGACGGGACGCTTCAGCTCCAGAAGTGCATAGTTGTAGTCAGAGGACAGGGAATTGTTGTTGACTTTGAGAATCCAGCCTTGAGGAAGCCTGGTTTCTTTCACTAGAGTCCATCTGAACACAGGTGGCCTATTGGATGCTACACTTTGCCTAATTCTTTTGATCTGCTGCCCTCTGTTTTGTCTTCTCCTGAATGTTCCTATTCTTGTCTCTCTTCCATCTATGTCGTGTTGATCTTTGCCTCTCACCTGTCCGCTCCTCTTGCGTCCTCTTCTCTCTCTTTTTGTCTTGAGCTGCAAAACTCCCACTTTGAGTTGTTTTGTCTCTTCTAAGTAGTCCCTGCCGTTGTGAACGCAATGAGCCGCTGTCAACACATGTTTGGGAGACACCAGAACCCCAGAGCACCCCGTGGACAGACGAACCGCCGTAGCGAAAGGATAGTGGGTGATGAAGTAGGAGTCCGAAATGACGAACCGCCCGTCTTCTCCGTACACATGCCTCTTTTTGCGTGTGTTTTCAGTCACTATACTTTGGTCGACGCCCCGCAGAGAGACATCTGTGTGTGTACATGTGCTGTCTTCGTGCATGGTTTCATAGCCCAAAAGTCGTTCTTGTTCAGGTTGGTCCAAAGGAAGCAGGTTGCTCTGACATTCAATTCCACAGAAACCTCTGGCCTCGTCTGGCCTTTGGTTACTAAATGAAGGAGGGTCCGAGGGTGATGTATTAACTTCCATCAGAACCGGAAGACTCTGCTCACTCCAGAAGAATACCTTGCTCTCACCATCACCGGGCACTCCGAAGACAACCAGGGCTGTTGCACAGAGAAGAGCGGTTGTGTGTAGGAAGTCCATTGTCCTGAAACACAATACATAAGTCTCAACATATAGATTTACAGCAAATAGATATGTATAATCTGCATAACAGCGTAATTAGTGTTGTGTTGTTTTTGTGCCCCAAGATTTACAAACTAAATATCCTTTGCGCAACGTTCTGTTCAAAATGACCCACCACAGTGATTAAAAGTAGACCCTTTTAGGCCCTAATTTTAGGGTCTAAATGACCAAGGGCTTGTCATGTTTGGAAAAATCATCAAAATTCAGCTTGATTTTTAAAATGTTGTGTATTTTTAGATCATTGTGGTGGGTCAATAGCATAAGGGTGAAACCAGGATAATAGAAAGAGATACTTTTACTTTACTTTGATCGATCCTGCAATGCCACTGGGGCCTCTGTCAGGAGCAGTGGTCGCTGTAGCACCCAGGGACCCATCAAAGACACTTTACAAGAGGACAAGATGTCGCTCAGAAAGGCTCTATTCTGACCAGGATTCAAACCCAGGACCTTTTTGCTGAGAAGCAAGAGTGCTAAACACGCCACTGTGATTACAGAACCAACATCAATTTACTGGCATTGTCAAAAAACACTGAGTGTGCTTTGGGATTATGGTGCAATAACAAACTGGTAGTCGGCATCCAGAAGGTGTTGCTAATAATGAGCCATTCCTCTATTTCTTTAATGTTTTACAAAGAACTAGTCCCTAAAATATTCTCTCAACAATCCATCCAACAAGAGAAAATAACTGACCTCTCTGTTCTATATTGTAAAGCCCATTGTGTGACCTTGGAGTATGAAATGTGCCATAATACAAAGATGACTTACTTACTTAGTGAATTGGAGGGGGTAGGGGAGTTTGAGCATTATATCTGGCTGTTAATAGCCTGTGGGTGGTGGGTTGTGAATTTCTGTGAGTTTATTCATCTGTTTTTTCATCAGTGTTTTTTCTGAATTTATACCATTGAATCAATCATGCTGGATTACATACATTTATAAATGTGTGTGATGTCAACCAAACAACCGATATAATAAATAAAACGGTGTATATTGATTATTTTGACAGTTTTATGATAAATAAAAGAGGTTGTATAATAGTGTATTCTGGACTTCTAGACCTGAAAAAAATATTTATAACAACCAGAAGAGGGCGCACTTAATCTACAATCTACTCTTTTAAAATGTAAAAGTTCTTATGTTTCATAAGCATAACATGTAGATATATAGTTGAATATTAAATAATTGTTCTTTAATTGTGCAACCATTTAAGATACACACAATCAACTAGTCACATGCAATAATTAAGCCACAGCCACTATAAGCAGATTCCTACCTTCACTCTTGGGTGTATCTTTTGATCTGGTCCCTGTTATTGCCGTGTACTGACTGCTGGAAATAGAATGATCCCCATTTCCACAGTGCTGTCCTCTCTCCAGTATAACATCCTACTGACTGGAGACCAAAGAACAAATCAGAAGGAGGAGACCGGGCGCATGCCCGTTTAACCATTTGAGCTCAAGTGCACTCATTTGTGCAAATATCCTATGCATCAAATGCTATTTAGCAGAAATATGCCAAATGTGCCTGAGAAACAGTGGGTTGCAAATGTACCTGCACCCCTTCATGTCATTGACATTTTGCCATGTTAGGTCCATAAATATGTTTATTCAAAATTTACCCCATAGCATGATGCTACCACCACCATGTTTGACAGTGAGGGTGGTGTTTTTACTGTGATTTTTAGGCCAAACACACCATTTTGCATTTCGACCAAAATGTTGCATTTTTTGTTTTATTTGATGTATGTATAGCCACACGACACAAGTATTTCTTCAGCGTGTCTTAGTCATTCACATCAGCAATGGTGGTAGTTCTGACATCTATGACCCCATCTTTATGAGCAGCTCTGGACAAAGGCCTTTTTCAGCCATGAACATGTGTGTTATACATCTTGGTTTGTAAATATGCAAACCAATGCCACAGTGCATGCATTGATGTAAAAATTGCAACAGAAACCTTTACATATATTAAAATGAGATGTGCTGACAAAGGTTGTTCTATTTGGTGACAACGGGAGTAACCGTCTGTTCTGCAGCAGATATGGAGCTTATGGATCTGACCTCTGCTAATCTCACAAACTCAACTGGACCTCCAGCTCAGTTCCTCTGGAGCGCGAGGGCTCTGGTCCCAGCAGTCATCTTGTCTGTGTGTTTCCTGGTGGGATTTCCTGGAAATGTAGCTGTTCCAATCCTCAGACCCAACTGGCAGCAGCTGACCCAACTGACCCAGTATCTGATGGTGAACCTGGCCTTGTCCGACCTGCTATACTTGGTCACTCTGCCTGTTTAGATCTATGCTCTTCTGTACAGCTGGACCCTGGGCCTCGTCGCCTGCAAAATCTTGGCATATTTTGTACATTGCAGCATCAACATCAGCCTCCTGACCGTCACTGCTCTGAGTGTCCAGCGCTACATTCAGGTGGTGCATCCACTGAGAAGTCTCCATTTCAAGTAGAGACTCCTGGTCCTGATGTGGCTCGTGTCGATGGTCTTGTCCACTCCGGCTTTAGTGGTTCGAAAAACCAGAAGACATCAAGACATAGTTATTTGTCTCCCAGTATACACCTCCTCAGCACAACAAGTGGCTGTTTTGCTCATCGAAGTCTTGGTTGCATTCTGGTCACTCACCATGATCACTTGTGCGTATGTTTTACTGATGAGAAAGCTGAACCAGGCTTTGTATTTCAACAATACTTCTCCATTCAAACTGGTTACAGCTATTATACTTACTTCTGTTGTATTGTGGATGCCGTACTTGGTTTTTGATCTTGTGATAGTGGCTGGGATTTTAAGTAACAACCTGAAAATTGTTGCTTTCTATGATCGTGGTTTTAAAATTTTTGGCACTGTAACATTTTTAAACAGTGCTGTAAATCCACTGATATATGCCTTTGCAAATGGAATATGTTGTAAAGTCAGGGAACCACAAACTGCAAGAACGATGGGAACAAGTCAGCAGCAGATGAATCAAAGAAGTGATGAACTGCCTTAAAGTAAAATCAAATTGATGATGCAGAAGCCATTTGGAGATTGTTCATTTTGAGACTGATTATAATGTTGCGGTAGCTAGTTCATCATTTTAACTCATTAAACCACATAATGATTAATTTTTTGTTGTGTTAAATCAATACTCATTGTTTTTTGGGGGATGTAAATGTCAGTCTTGACCAAAATCAGTTTTTGAAAAAGTTAAGCTTCTTATCTTCCTCGTTATAAGATGTTACTTATAAATAGGAGGTTGTTCAAGAGCAGTTCCTTGTTTTGTGATTAAAATAGAATAGATGGAAAATGACCCATACAGCGTTTTTCAACAGTCCATCCACATTTTTTACATGTTCAGAAATAGCCTGAAGATTGTTGATTTGATTATTTTGAATTTCATATTTTTGTTTAATATTTATCAAAATTATAATAAAATTATAAATCCACTCCTTAATTCTTTTGCAAGTAATTATTTTTGAAGAGAAATGTAAAAGAGACATTTCGAAGAAAAAATTGCAACCCAAATTGCAGTTTGCTTATCTGACTGTTTTGTAATAAACGTAGTCACTTACAAATTTACAGTAAATTAATAAAAACACACAGAACCACAAAGAGAAGACAGCACAAGGAGAGAGTTTATATCTATGCGAGTGATAGCTTCTAGGGCAAAAATCAAAATGTAAACAACTAGCAAATATATTGAGCCATTTCCTCATGGCGTATTAATGTAACACAAATACATAAGAATAATGCAATCTAACAGACTTTGTCTGAAAGCCTATTGTCTTTATGGGCCACTTTTTGCAATTTGAAAGTGCTCCACTTGAACTTCATTATCTATATTGAATTAATTCAATCTGATTGCATTTGTAATGACTTAGGGACTGAATGCTATTTTCTATAAGCATTAATTTGCTACATTAATATTGACCCATCCAACTATCATGCAAGACATGTTAAAGTATTGGAGCCTCTGTGCTGCATGTCAGGATTTCCAAGATGATAACCCAGAGTGCAGTGGAAAGCATATACTGTGTATAGATGGACTACGTTAACCCGCTAGCTCAATGAAGCCCAATAGGAAAGTGATCATGGACATAAGTTTGGCTCCAACTTGCTCTGGTTCCTAATGTCTTGCATTGAAAAGTAAACTCCACAAGCTCAGTAAGTTTGTGTCCATTTATGTCGGTGGGTGCAAAAAGTGGTGGGTTTTTAATGTTTAATGTGTTTAAAAATTATCAGAGCTTTTAGCTACAGTTCTGCTACAGTTCTTTTTGTCCAAAGCAATGTCCTGCTTCTCAGAACATCATGGTTAAGCTCTCACAGATTTCCCATTCCACTGAGCGTCTCTTCTCTTCTCACCATGTTTGTATAACTATATATTATAATAGATCTGTGGTAAAACACCTCTGAGCAGCGCGTTCCACTTCACAACGCGGACATTGTTTAAGCCTAGTTTATTCTTGTGCGGCGCTGAGCTTGCGGTGGCCCTCGTGACGTCACCTGGTGTCACATTACCAAGGATCAAGGATCACTGTAACCCTTGCATAGCCACCCGTGCTCCCTCAAAAATGTCAAACTATGCAGCCGGCGCCACAGAGAAGCTCTGTTGTGATTGGTCCGTGTGTGATTACTTTTGGGATGGAAGCATGGAGCGTCTGCGGGGACAACATGGACGGGGCACTTCGGAGCAGACTGCTTCGTGCTTCGAAGGAACCCAACCGTGAGAAGCGCAGCGCGAGTATACACAGAACTCCGCACACGTGCGTGAAGGCACATTTGTGACGCAGTAGGGTGTGGAGAGATTCTTTCCTTAGTGGTCCGGTGAACTACCAGGTGTTGGGGACCACTGTCAAACATGGCATATGGTCCTCGGAGGCTTTCGTAGTGTTGGTAGAAGTAGATCTCAGCGCTAAATGGGAGAAAAACTATATAGTGTACCTTTTAACCTAGTAGTCTACTGTAACTGTGTCCAAATTGAAAGTTAACTGGCAGCTTAGGCATCATTTGTAGGCGAGGGATAACGTGCGTCCAAATTCACGGTGGCGAGGCAGGGAGCGTAGGGATCATACCTTTGTCTCAATAGAAATGGCCACTTTTGGAGCAGGTTTGAAGCATACTGTATACAGTATTTGATGTATGCGTCGCTGCCTCATTTTTCCAGAGTCACGGCCGCACATGCACAGAACTTGTCCCTAAAAGCTAAGCTAATGCTACAAGGTTAATGAGTCCATTAAGATTCACTTTTTGAACAAGAAAAATCACTGTGTTTTTGTCACAGGCCTAAAAGTGTCTGTTGAGGGGGGTGTGATCAATAAAAGACAATGAATAAAAGAATATATTAGGTTTTTAACAAAAACATATAAGAATGGAATAAGAATATATTTGCTGAAAAAAACAGGCAAAAAAGGGGGCTAGTGCATGCGCAAATTTTTTGTTTTCATATTTTCCAGCCACTGCGGCCATTTTGAAACTGCTTGTTGACGGCGAAAGTGGTAGCACATTAGTTTCAACGGTGGAGATAGGCGTGACCACGCCCGTTAATATCCGTTAACAGTCTATGGCAGCAAACCTAGGTACGGCACTACGTTGGTTATGTGTCATTGGGTGACTTCACGAGGGCCACCGCAAGCGCAGCAACCATGGATCTATTAGGCAGCAACGCACAATATACATAGGCCTTGAGCTGGACTGGAACACATCAAATGAGTTGTTGATAATAAGAAATTGGGTAAGCTGAAACTTTTTCATTGACTTTCCCCAAAAATGGCAGATTAGAGATGGTACCGTGGAGTCCAGGCTGTTCTTTTTTAGAAGGGGCCCGATGACTGCAGTTTTCAGGGTCTTTGGGAATATTCCAGAATGAAGGGACATGTTTACCATCTGCATGAGTGAAGGTAACAGACTGCTCAGAACAGACTTTAGAAATCCAGTGGGTAGTACATCCAGGCTGCATGTGGAGGAGCTCAGACTTGTTTATCATCTACAGGTGCAGTCAGTTAGCTCAAAGAACCTTCTGGCTGTTGGATTGTTATGTGTGGATTGAAGACAATGGCAATAGTAAATAGTTACATTTACGTTTGGAAGTTAGCTCTGATGGCATCTGAACAGGGGGGTTTGTTAATCTATTACAGTTTTTTTTGTATTGCCTGAACACATTTTGCTAAATTTCCCTCATCGTCTCGAAACTCTACACACAAGAACCTGACACAACAATGGGACATTAACCGTTCACATCTGGGTCAAAATGGGACCCTACTAACAGAACTTAAACTCTGCTCTCAATTCTTTGTCAAAATGAAACTCTGAGATGGATCATGGTCTATTATGCTCCTTCTGTTGGGTGAACAGGCGTTGTTGACCAACTTGAGAAGGTCTTCTAGTCATTCTGTAGAAATGTTGGTTTAGTTTTTTTGTTTTTTTTTTACTGCATACTGCAATTCTGTGACATCTCAATGGTACAGTACTATGTACTTCACTGTATTGCATGTCTCACAAAAAAGGAGGGGGCGACAGTAGCTCAGTTGGTAGAGCATTGGCCTTAGAGCCTGAAGGTTGTGGGTTCGATCCAACCGTAAGACCTACTTCACGACTCCCACTGATGTCTGCTGTTGTTGTGTCCTTGGGCAAGAGACTTAACCCCACTTTGCCTGAAGCCCCCACTGAAAGATCTCAGCTCCTGTGGACTCACCACCTGCAGGAGGACCAGTGAGGGGCTGGTGCTATGTGGAAAGGGTGCAGCTCTGACTGCCACCCCCCGACTCAGAAATGAATTAAGGGGAAGAAAATGGATGGATGGATGGACAAAAAAGGAGCAATACCCAACTTACAATTCAGTGCATGTGATATAGTACAGTACTGTAAATACTGTAGATACAGTCTGCAGTAGAGAGTTACAGTACATGTTTCTATCTGAAGGCCCTTATGATGGAGCTGTGGCTGGACTCTGCTTCCCTCATTGTGAGGCCATGATTGATCACGTGATCCACCAAAGTTTCTCTAATGTCATCAGAAATATTGGCCTCTTCAACCACGTCCTCCTCTCTCCTTGCCTTCCTCTACCTCTACCGCTTGCTCTTCCTGTCTCAAGTTCTGAAAATGGCTAATGGCTAATGGCTGTTTATGTCTGACTAATGTGTGTCACATTTTGTAAGCAAGTGTTTTCAAGTGTGTGTCTGTGTTTTCAATCACACAATATGTTTGGTATTTTGAAAAGATGTGTTTTCCCAATGATGACACAGGATTACATTTATGAACAAAGTATTTTCTGTTTGACACAGTGTGTAGTGAGCAGGGGAAAGTGTGCGGCAGAATGAGCAATGTTCCACTTCCCGTCGGCCCTACAGGACGTTCTCTTCTGTGCCCTGACTGAGTCTGCTTAAATACAGCTTTGTATTTCACCCTTGATAGGTGTTAGATTACTTGTTAAAAACAGAGCTTGTTCAGGAGCAGTTCCTTGTTTTGTGATCAGAATCTACACGTCTCTGTCAAAATGCAGCAGCTGAACCTGACCTCCACACAGAGCCACAAACAGTTGGGAGCAGAGGCGCTGGTCCCAGCAGTCATCATGTCTGTGTGTTTCCTGGTGGGATTCCCTGGAAATGTAGCCGCTTTATTCCTGAGACCGAACTGGCAGCAGCTGTCCACACTGACCCAGTGTCTGATGGTGAACCTGGTCACGTCTGACCTGCTGTGCTTGGTCACTCTACCTTTTTGGATCCATGCTCTATGTAATGACTGGGCTTTTGGAGCTGTTGGATGTAAGATGGTAACATTTTTGACTTATTGTAGCATCTACAGCAGTGTACTGACCGTCACTGCTCTGAGTGTCCAGCGCTACATGCAGGTGGTTCACCCACACAGAAGTCTCCAGTTCAGGAAGACGCCCTTGGCTCTGATGTGGCTCATGTCGATGGTCCTCTCCATCCCAACGTTAGTTGTTCGACAGATTACTGTGGACCAGCAAAAGATCAGCTGTTTTATAAAATACTCCTCTCAAGCACAACAACTGGTGGTGATGTTCACTGAATGTATTTTGGATTCAGCTCCTTCATCATTTGTTTATGGGCTTACATTACTCTGAACAGAAAACTGACACAGACAACATTTTTCAACAGTCCGTCCACATTTAAACTTCTTACCATTTTGACCATCACGTTTTTTGTTTCGTGGTTTCCCTACATTGTTTTTCTCCTTGTAATTGTTGCAGGCCTTTTATGTAATAATCAGAAGATTGTTGATTTTTATGATTTTGGATATACCATTTTTAGTAGTTTAATAATAATCAACAGTTCAATAAATCCACTTCTGTATGCTTTTGCAAGTAACATTTTTAAGAGAAATGGAGGAGTTCAACCAGAATAGCAGAATCTTCAGCAGCAGTCCAGACAGTATTCTATGACTCGGTTGAGTTTTATGCAGCACAGTTATTGTACAAAGCAAGTAAAAATAAATTGCTGAGTTAAATTCAATTGCTTTTTCAAATAAGACGGGAAAACACTATTAAAGGGGTTCTAATATCTTTAAAGTTCCAGCCGTGAGAACGACTCGGAAGAGCATGTGTGTGTCGGTCTGTGGGGTCCGGCTATGGAATGGTTTGGGGGACGACCTCAAGAAGAGCACAGTACTTTGGAAATTCAAATCTAAATACATTGAAATTATGTAAATCAGATATAAATCAGATGAAACGTTCTAAATAGTGTTATGTTCCTACTTAAAAACAGAAGTAGATAAAGAGATAATGTATACTTCTAATACAAATATTATATGTGTGTGTATTGTATATGTTTGTATGTGGGTATGTATTGGTGCATGTATACTGTATGTATGTGTATGTATATATGTGCATTTGGACATGTTTATGCAAACATCTGTATAATATAGAATAATATAAAACTTTGTTGTACTTTTGTTATGTTGTACAGGACAGTATGCAGTATTTAGTTTTATTTTGTAAATGGAAGTGGGATAAACAAGTATTTCACTTCTTCTCACATCCTTTCAAGCAAAGAGCAATCCTTCTTTTTTTTAAAAATATGTAATCCGTATTAATGTATATATTGTTTACTTTAATGTTTAGGATACCACAAGTTTGTGATGAATTTTATTTTTGTTATTGTGTCATGCTCATGCCTGAAATAAAATTATTCATTACGTCATTAAAGGAATAGTTCACCGTTTTTACATACTGACATATGTTCTTACCTTACCTTAGACTAGTTAATACGTACCTGTCTGGTCTTAGTCCGTGCGCTCTGTCATGCAAACGGAGCAAAAACGGGAGCACAACCGCAGCCTCCTCTGTATACTGTGTAGTACCCAAAAGGTAGCTCCCGCTAGAAGCTACCAAACTCTTCCAAGTGTTCCCTATTAAATGTATATAGTTACGTGACGTGTTACACTGCAAAGTATAGTAACACAGAAATGTAACTGTCGATTTTCTCAGCGGATAAAACGGGTACTATATTGTGAGGCGTAGTAATCTGAGGAGCGCCACGTCCGCGCACTAACTTCTTTCCGTACTACAAGTCACGCTGCTTCTATAGACGGAAGTGAGCGAGAGAGAAGTCTCCGGAGAGAAGTTAGTGCGCGGACGTAGCGCTCCTGTGGCACGCTGCTGTGTTTACAAAGTTTAATGAGTTTCACTCGCAAATTTTGAATGTTTAATCCTGTTTTTAAAATGTTACGAAAATCATGAGGAGACAAAGTGACAGAGATTATAAAGAGACTCTATTAACACAAGATAGAGATAGGTACGATGCGAAAATTTCAGTCATTAATTGTGTGGATCCGTATACGCTAACGAAGGAAGCACTGAACGCTGATTATGCAGCTTTGCCTCAGATACAGTATTATCATGTGTACCATTATCTGGTATTGGCTAGGAGCTTTTACACATGTGAGCAATTCCGAGCATGGAAATCGCTGGAGGCGGACAATCAATTTGCCGAGGGTTGGGTTGGTGACGTTTTCTCAAGTGCAATCAATGGAAAAGTAGTCATCATAGCGAAGGTATGTAGCATAATGCTAGACTATTCTGTCTATTAAAAAGCCATAGCCTGCACAACTTAATTCCTATGTTCCACTTAAAACAGAGTGCGTTCTATAATATGCATGTACTTATTTTTACACTAGATTATTAGAATCTGGATATCAGTCCATGTACAACAAGACATACATTAGAACATACCACCATAGAACTATTATTATCTATTTAGTAATCTAGTAATCTTTTATTTATATACCGCCTTTTCACTGCAGATCTGAGTCTCAAAGCGGTTTACAATTGTTAATTTTGGGCATTTGTCTCCCACTCCACACAGAGATGGGAGCGGGGTCGCCAGTACAGGAGGCGCATGCCAGAACTATTGGACATATTTTTAGTGGTAGGGGAAACCGGAGTACCCGGAGGAAACCTACGCAGACACGGGGAGAACATGCAAACTCCACTCAGAAAGGCCCTGGTCCGACCGGGATTCGAACCCAGGACCTTCTTGCTGAGAGGCAAGAGTGCTATCCACTCAGCCACATTTACGTTGCCCTCGAGAGCCTCGGACGCGACACCGATCCTCCTCATAATAAAGTAATCTAAATAATGAAACTCTCAAGTTACCAGATATCAGCATACACAAGTTAGTACTGAGTAAATTACGTCTGTCAACACATTATAAGATACGATACGCACCTGACACAAAGTGCTCCGAGCATATTCTTGCGTGTTTTGAGGGAGTTTCTTGCCTGTTTATCTTCGCAAGCCATAACCTCCGTGGTTGTTCTGACAAAAGCTTAGTCTTCTCACATTCATGAAGTCAAATGATGGGTATACTGTAAAATCCAAGTTTAACAGAACCTCCGGCACGATTTGAACATCCATTGACCCAGCAGGAGATGACCATTTTCAACTTTATCACGACATTAACACGTTTCAGCTTCTTCTTCTATTGTTTTGCCCACAGCATGCCAACACAAATGACGTCATGTGGGAACTATGTATAGATGGACAATGCTAACCCGCTAGCTCAATGACGCCCTACAGGAAAGTGATCATTGACATAGTTTGGCTCCAACTTGCTCTGGTTCATCTTGACTTGCAATGGAAAAGTAATCTCCACAAACTCGGTAACAGTTTGTGCCACACTCTCCATTTTGCGCTTTAAAATCTGTGGTTCAGCGCACTCTCTGATCCTAGTGATTATAGTTTGATATTGTCTTTGGAAATCCAGATACGAGTCTATAGGTATTGACCAATCAGATGCCTTCATTAGCGGGCGAAACTCTAGCTTGCCTTAGCAAAACATCAGCCCCAGTTAAGGTGTGAAGTTAACGCTGCGGAAAAAAATCCCTAATTAAAGAAAATGGCTCCAGCTAGCTTACGTTCAAATCGGCCTCTTGTGCATTAAGGCATACACTACGGTGATGTCACTCCTCATAAACGGTCCATGGTGGATACCCAAGTTTACATTCACTGTACAGGCTGGTCTGTTTGGCTTCAGGTCTGTCTCTGCCTTGGGTCAACTCTGCAGCATGACATGGTAGTTTCATGTTGTGAGACTGTTTTGCCCTAGAAAGATTGATAAGATAGAGGGCTGACATTGGAATGTTGTTAAGTTATCATTTTAACTTATCATCTTATCATTTTAAGTCGTGTGGCATAAAGGCATGGCTCATTGGAAAGGCAACCATGTAATTAAAGGAGCTGTACCCGTTTCTGCAAGGTTTGAATGTTTAGCACCGGTGTAACGCCGAGATACACTGTCTTGAAGAGATGCACAGCCTCAGCTGTTTATGATGTAATGCAAACCTGCGCATGCGCGTCTCACGGCAGCCGAAGCATACCAAGATGGCGGACCGTGAATTGCTTTAAAAGTTGAAATACGAACAAATTAAGACACGAATGTCACTTTTAATGCAATTTGAGGCGAGATGTTGATGGTCCCGTTTTGTCACATGTGGGTTTTAAGAGTCAAAGTTTCGTGCAAAGTTTAGTTTAAGCAGTCAACTGCGCCTGTGAAACCACAAAGCTAATGCTTTCATAGCAGTCCGCGGCTGCTGACGTAGGCTGATGACTGTGGACCAGCAAAAGATCAGCTGTTTTATAAAATACTCCTCTCAAGCACAACAACTGGTGGTGATGTTCACTGAATGTACTTTTGGATTCAGCTCCTTCATCATTTGTTTATGGGCTTACATTACTCTGAACAGAAAACTGACACAGACAGAATTTTTCAACAGTCCGTCCACATTTAAACTTGTTATTACCGTGACCATCACGTTTTGTGTTTTGTGGTTGCCGTTTTTAATTTTTGATCTCGTAATGATTATAGGAATTTTATGTCATAGCAGGAAGATTGTTGATATTTATCGTTGTGGTTTTCAAATTTGTGTTAGTTTAATATTTACCAACAGTAGCATCAATCCACTCCTTTATGTATTTGCAAGCACGCTATGTAAGAGAAATGAAGACCTTCAACCAGAATAATTTGACACAGTATCTTTTCTTGTTGGCTTATTCTGAATTTACAGTAGATTATGAACTTTTTTCTAAAGCTGCACAAAACCACAAAGATAAGACATGCAGCAGAAAGAATTAGTTTATATCAATTGAAGGGATTGCTTCACACGTAGTATAAAGAGAGTATGAAAATGACATTTTGACATTTGCCTTTGACATTTTGAGTTATTGCCTCATGTCCTTTTACAGCTGGAATATATGTTTTGTTTGATTCATGTTGTTTGTCATTTCTTGTTTAAAGGAAAATGTGAACAAATCACACAAGCTGTATTCATCTTATGAAAAAAACCTTTTGATCTTTCACACACTGAGTGTGTAAAACACTTTTCTGACAAGAAATGTGTATAAAAAAATGTCACAGAGGCCAAAAATACATGTATATGGAAAGTAGTAGTAGTGTAAATGCAACTTCTGTTTTCAGGTTACCACTTATCCACCGTCAACTAAAGTCTTTTGTCCTACAGGGAAGACTTTCATATCACAGGAGTTGAACCTCTGACAGCAAATAGGTTACAATCGTTGGAGAAAAGGTAAACATGCATGAATTTTATCATTTGATAAATACTGTTTTTTTGTAATGAATGTAAAATGTCTTTTATTGTGAAGCAGCAAATCAATGGAGCTGAATGATGACGCTTTAGATGGGGAGCAAGCCAATAATCTTAAACAGTGTGTAAGTTGTACGATATTCTTTATGTAATGTGTATATGTTGGTACATAATTTACATATTGGGCTGTTCTTTTTTTAATTCCAGAATAGAGTGTGAAGGGGAAGTTTCAGACCCGTATGATTCAGATTATGTGCCACCAATCTCATTACCATCTCTTACTTTTCACTCACTGATAGCATAAATTTAATTTGTCTTGTAAAATAGTGGTGCATCGCAGGATATGGTCGACAAACTTTCTTGCATTGGGCTGGTAGAATCTATATTAGACATTGCTGACTGTGTTGAGGAATGCCAAAAAGCAAATCTTGAAGAAGAGGCAGCAGCCACCATTCCCATTTTCCCAAAACCATGTCGAGTGGTTGTTGAAAGTGACCTTGTAAACCAGCAGGCATGCATAGCATACAACAAAAACCTCTGCAGATGGCAACTTTCCTCCAATTGTCTGTCAATAAATGCCACTACAGTGACCACACAGGCACAGAGTGTGACGGCCGTCCACCCTTTTCTGTAAAGTCACATGCGCGAGGTACATCTTTGATATTGGAGTGGGTGAGTTTACATGGTTTGCACATGTGTTTACCAGACTAAGTACAAATATGGTATATGTGTGAAGTTACATAAACCATAAATTATGGAGTTTATGCAAGGAGGAGATTTTATGTTGTTTTCCAATATTTCCTTCTTATTCAAATCCATGAATATCTGCATGGTGCCTCCTCAACATCTTATGCAGTCCAGGAAACCTACTGTCTAAAAACAATAAAGCAGTTTTGGGAGGAGAAAAGGACTGCTATCATCAACAGATTAGAGTCCAAAGACAACGTTGAAATTATTGATTTCTAATTTCTAAGTATATGTATGCTCACATGCCTTTTGTGTTTATGTTTTAGCTGAAGGGAGGATCTACTTTCCAGGTAAAGCACAAAGCTCTGTGGCATTTCTTTAATATCGGTTTGTTGTTATTGAAATGTTTGTTTGTCATTATTATTTCCCCCACAATCTGTATATTTTTTCAAAAAGGTCACTCCGCTATGTGCTGTGCGTACACAACGATGGAGCTAGACACCATGGACATCGTAAGTGTTTAATTGTATTTAACACAGGTCTGGTAAGACTTTTTTAAATATAATTGTGGTGTCTTCAATCAGGCTGAATCGTTTCTGGTCAAAAGGCTTTACTTGTATGGATTGAGGACATCTTTAACCATTTCTGGTATGCTTGTCAGCACACAAGCACCAGAGAGGAGTTTATGGTCTGTATGAACATTAGATATTTATAACGTCACTAGATAATGTAATTTTTCTCTTTGTATGGTGACATGGTATAACTTTTGATATACGACGTATTGTATACATTTAGGGTGTGTGGAGAGGTGTACTTCACCATATGCGCCTCTGGAGGATAAACAGCACAAAGAGCCCATTCCACGTGGTTCTTAACCAGAGGTGGCTGAAGGATATTGACAAGTTGCTCACCTTTCGGTAAGTCATGTGGGTGACATCTTGTGAGAATGTACAGGAACTGCCTTTTTAATACTACAAAGTATATTATATTACACAGAGATCGAATTTATTTGTATGTTTGACGTTACAATAATCTTTGTTCTGTAGGACAACTTCGAAGCTTGAATCTTTCCAAAACCATGTCCTGATGTACGCAGGGAAGTGTTTTGGATTTACTTATGACGCCTATGAAGCTCGTACACTCCTCGCTGCATTAGACTACAACCTCCATAACCATCGCCCAGTGCATGTGAACAGCAAAGCAATAAAGGAAAATATTATTTCTACTGATGTCTACAGAAAAAAGTCTCAGCGTTACACTGTGAAGGAGACTAAAGACTACAGCTCTATCCCAGACCGGCGCCTCAGCTCTGCTTGGGGGACTCTCAAAAAATGTAAGCAGATGACCCCAGAGCCATGGGTCCTCTGTCCTCCTCATCCCTCCTCCTGCAGCTGAAGAGGAGCAGACACAACAGAGGACAGGTAGTGATGATAATCAAGTGAAAAAAAATTCTCTATGATATAAAATATTATTCTTTCTTTTTGTAGGACTTTTTTATCTGGTCCCTGAACAGACGCTGACAGCAATCAAAGATGGACACAGCACATTTATTTATATTATGTCAAATTTTTCCCAAACATTGAAATAAAAGAAAGACTTATTTCTTAAGTGGTGATGAGTTTCATTTTAGTTTTAATTCCCTACTGTGGAACGAATAAAGGGGCGTCTTTATAACCCACATGTCCTGCTCTTCTTATTCTAGCCTGGCCTCTCCTCTGGCTGCTCCTCTTCCTCCTCTTGCTGCTCGTCTGCCTCCTCCTCTCCCCCATTCAAGGTCACTGCTCTCAGAAACTACAGATTCAACTGGACTGGAGTCCTGGAAGGAAAAGCAAAAAGATTTAGATGTCACTATTCTGGAATGTATGTTTTGTACAAACTTCATCAAAAAATATTTTGAATTTATCAGAACAGTTGATATAGTTTTATACCTACAGACAACTTGTGTAGTATTAGTAGCAGACTAGTGTCAGTAATAACACTAATCAAAACAAAACAGGAGCAGTGGTAATTATGCTGTATTCTATGGGAATAATAATGTTGCTAATGTTAGCTTGTCTTGGCTGCAAAATAAGAGCGACTTCACTGATTTATGTTTATGAGTAGTAAATATACTACAAAATGTCTCATGCTACGCTAACCTTATAAGGCCCAATGAAAAGATGATTTTGGCTTGTCAAGGAAGCATTTCTATCTGTGGAATTGTATTATTACAGTTAGGCTTACGTTTATATATACATAATAAACACTTTTTTTGTTCCCCTTTGAAATGTTGTTCATTTGTGTGAATATAATGTGGCTTCAGGCTTTTGATAATTCACTTTGCTTTACATTTGCTGAAGTATCACATCTTGGAAAATGTACACATTGATTTGGTCTAAATATTACATATATGGGGCATAGAAGAGTAAAAAAAAAAAAAGTTATCTCGAGATACCTATTGTTCCGAAACAGACCCCTGGGAGTAGCTAGCAGTGCTTCCGACTAAGTTTTATTCAAGACTAAACTTGAAGATATTTGAAGACGATTTTTATTAATGCTTCGCTGCCTTTTTTCCCCAAGCCACGGCCGTAAATGCTCATGTTAGCTGGTAAACAACCACTGCCTTGGACCCGGAGCGAACACGTCACATGTGTCTATGGTACGTACCTGCATCATGCTTTACTGTTGAGTTATGAACACGTTATGATACAATACAGGCGTTAGATCTGCCACAGACGTTTGTGTGTAGCCTTGTTATCTGCCGTGTTAAACTCAGTTGTCCCGAAAAGCTAAGCTAATGCTAACGCCAGACTATTCAGTCCATTGAGATCGTATTTGATCAAGAAAAATCCTATACATAGTTC